GTTCATGTAGACTTCATTGGAGTCAGAGGAATCTGTAGCAGATGGAAATTCTGGGTACACCTGACCTGTACTTAGAATTGTAAGGTATCTATCTCTGTGTGTTTTTCATCTTCTGGTTCTGATATTAAGAAAGATGAAGGTCGAGCTGGGAGTGGTCCTTTAGTCCCAGCACTCAGGAGGCAGAGGTAGATGGATTTCTGTGAGATTGGGGCCAGATTGGTCTACATAAGTGAGTTCCAGGCCAGCTGAGGTTGCAGGGAGATCCTGTCTCAAAAAGATTAAAAAATAAAAAAGAAAAAAAAAGAAAGATTAATGGGAATGAGACCCAGGCTTTGAGCAAGGCTTTCATCCTGGTCAAAGGACATGGCATTGCATATCAGGACTTTTTCCACAGTCAACTGTCGGTACCTCCTCCTTGTCCTGAACAAATAACTCAGCTATCACTAGCTAAAAGAATAGGCCAAGTTAAAGGTTTACTCCTGGGCTAAAAGCTAAACGTTTACTATGCTTTTGGCCCTAAGAAAGAAAACATTGTGGCCAATTAATTACCAAATAGGCACTGGTAGCCCTGAGAAAAAGATCAGGCATCCTGCTTTACAAACAGCCCCTAGCTGGCACAAGCTAAAACCTATGTCCTGTTTCTTGCCTAATTGTGCCCTAAATCTTTGTATGCAACTGCCAAACCCCATGTGACTGCCAGTTCCTTGTGATGTCTAAAAATCTTCTGAATTTCTTAATAAACAGCTTGTTACCAGATGGGAATTGTTACCAGGTGGGAAGACCCTGCAAGCCCCAGGGTCTTCACCCTGCACCTCCAATCCATGGTCTCAGAGCTGGGTCCTCCATAGGGTGGCCACCACATAACTGAAACGATCTCAACTACAATAAGAAGTCTTACTGGGGACAGAGGTGTTCAGGCTCAATGTTCTCTCTCTTGGTCCAGGTGGCAGGCCATTTCAAATGTTAATTTGAAGTACACAGAGTATGACAGTTAGCAGCTACAAGCAACCTGGAGCCTAGGAAGAGAGACAGTAATCCTTCTCTCCAGTAATTTTCTTAGACAAGGCTCATAACAAGTGATGGGTCAACATGTCTCCCACATTTCAGTTTTGGAATATTCCTTTTATAGCAAGAGGGTTACATTTGGTGCAATCTCTAAGGTCCTGTGTATAGTGTGGTGTATAGTGTCTCTGATCTGATTTGACATAGTCATAGGCACCAGTGTTTATTGACACAGAACAAATCAGTTTGTATCTCTTCATGTGCTGACAGTGGTTATTTACTTCTGTGAACAGGATGTAGAGTCCTTCTATCTTGGCACTTATACTCAAAATGTGGTAACTCAGTCAAATTGTTGCTTTATAAAGTGGAGTAATTCAAGAATATGCATAGCCTGAAAGCAGCAATTCTATATAATAAAGAGTAACATAGAACAGGCTCAGACTGTTCTCACTTCCCTCACATCTATGTGTTTAACAAAGTCTTATGAATTCTATCCTACAAGTTTCTTAACTTCATTCTTCTCAACCATACATGTAGGAGTGGGGTGCTAGAGAGCTTAACTCAGGGTCTTGACTGTGTTAAGCACATACTTTACTACTGAGCTACCACTAGCTTCAACCCTACTCTTACTTCCTACTGTCACGTCTTAACTTCTCCCACCTAGTTTAAGGTAATAGAGACTTAACTGGTTCCTACCCTTCAGTCTTTTCATTCTTCTCTATTCTCTTTCTTCTTTTTTTTTTTTTTAAAGACAGAATCTCTCTTGCTGGGCATGGTGGCACACACCTTTAATCTCAGCACTCGGGAGGCAGAGGCAGGCAGATTTCTGTGAGTTCAAGGCCAGCCTGGTCTACACAGTGAGTTCCAGGACAGCTGGGGCTACAGGGAGACCCTGTCTCAAAAAAGACCGAAAAAAACAAACAAACAAACAGGATTTCACTATGCAACCTTTGTTGGTCTGGAATTTGCTATATAGACCAAGCTGGTCCCAAACTCAGAGAGATCCTCCTGTTTCTGCCTCCCAAGTTATGTTCTATATACAAATCTGACAGTACTATGGCTAAAACCTCTGGTGGCTCCAAACCCTTTAACTGAGAGCCTTTAGAATCTGCACTTTATCTTTATACAGATTCATTTCATCCAGGTGTTCAATATGCCTGACCATACTTTTCAACTACTAGAAATTTCTTGCTTCTTTTTGCTTTATAAATGCCTGATCATCTTTCAAGATCATGAACAAAAGTCATCTCTTGTGTATAATGTTGAAACTCCTGAGCAGGACTTACTTGTAATACAGGATCTTTAAGTTGCAATGATTAGGAAAGAGTCATGGGATAGGAGTAAAGATTTTACTACTTAAAAGTTCAAGGGTACATGGCAGCCCCGGAGACCACACACACCAAGGTCAAGAAGTGCAGGCAGGGAGACAGGAAAACACCTATGTGCCAATCCCTTCTTCCGTCCCTCTTTTTTTTTGTTGTTTTTTTTTTGAGATTGGGTCTCCCTATAGTCCCAGCTGCACTATGTAGACCAGGCTGGCCTCAATCTCACAGAGATCTGCCTGCCTCTGCCTCCCAAGTGCTGGGATTAAAGGTATGTGCCACCATACTTGGCACACCAACCCCTTTCTTAGGACCATAGCAGTGTCCAAATGTTTCCTGGGGAGAGGTGAGGGTTTTTTTTGGTGGGGGGGTGGTCTTCAAGCAGAGTCTCAGCTGTAGCCCCAGCTGGCCTGGAACTATGTAGACCAGGCTAGTCTTGAACTCGAAGAGAGCCAACTGCCTCTGTCTCCTGAGTACAGATTAAAGGCATGTACCACCATGCGCAGCTGCTGGGGAGAGTTTTCACTGGTAGGTTTAAAGTAGGGAGGCATGAGTACCAGAGTCACCCTGTGACAAAGGGGTGGTCATTGTGGCATACCTGCATAGCCTATTGAAATATGAAGATCAGCATAGCCAGTCAAATAGACTGCATATAGTTGTTTATTGGAGGTGGTCTTTGGAAGCAGTTGTAGAAGGCAGAGCACTCTAGAACAACCACACTGAAAACGACATATAAAACAAGAAACAGTGTTAACAGTAACTGAACCCTGGCATCTGGCATGAGGAAATACAATTTATGGTCAACATAGATGCCCAAGCAACATAAAATTGTAATCATTTACCACATTAGCTGGACGTGCTGGTGGATATGGTATCTGGGAGGCCAAGGCAGGGCTACATGGAAATCTTACTTCAAAAAAGAAAACAAGGGCTGGTGACATGTCTCAGTGTGTTAAGATACTTGCTGCCAAGCCTAATGACCTGAGTTTGAATTCTAGGACCTATGTGGTAGAAGAACCGACTCCTGCAAATTGACCTCTGACCTACACACACACACACACACACACACACACACACTCGACAAAATAATTTTAAAAAATGCAACATAACCCAATTTTTGTGTTTTCAAGAGACTATAGGTTGTATTTTTGTGTGTGTGATGTGTCTATTTCATGTGTATGTGCAAGCATGCAGAGCTCAGAGGTTAACTTGGCTATCTTCCTCAATCACTCCCCTACCTTCTGAAACTGTCTCTCTCTGAACCTGGCACTCACTGATTCAACTAGGCTGGCCGGCCAGTGAGCCTAAGGAATCTTCCTGCTTCTGCCTCCTCAGTACTAGGATTACAGGAATGTACCACACCCAGCTTTTTCCATGGGTGCTGAGACTAGAACTTGGGTCCTCATGCTTTCATAGCAAACACTTTACCCACTGAACCATCACCCCAGCTGTCTGGAACTCACGATGTCTTACTGTGGGGCTGATGGAAAATCAGTCTGACAAAGACTGAAAGAACTGATCATCCACCCACCCTGCCTCTCCACTCCAGGAGGGAGACACATCTATTTCAGAACACAAGACCCCTAGCAAAAGACATCTGGTTTCTTATCAGACATCTTGTAGATTTGATTCCTTATCAAACCCCCTATCAGGACTCCCCATCTCTCCTTCCCAGAGCCCAGGAAGGAGCAGGACAACACTCAAGAAGGCAAACCCCACTTTCTGGGATTTCAGGAAAGCACAACCCTCTTTCTAGGACTTTCTAGGTCCACCTATAAATTCCAGACCTCTCCCAACCCTGACACTCAACCTCCATTCCCAGAGGAAGGCTGCTGTGCCCTTCATAGCTAAATGAAGGTATCTGCATCAGTTGAGGAAGATTCCATTTCTACTTATCAGTCACCTTCTCATCCTGATTTCTAACATAGGCCATATATAAGATGCTGGATATATTATTTCTATGTGTTGATATTGATTGTGTTGTTATCCCTATGTCTTCTCCAATATGAAATTCCTTCAAAACACAACAGCCTTTATCTCTGTGAATTCCCACATTTACTATGGTCACAGGACACAGTCTTTTGAGACAGTGTTTTCACTATGTAGCCCTGCCCTGCCTTGTCTTCAACTTGCCATCCTCCCACTTCCTGTGCTGGGATTACGTGCATGAGGCACACACTTGACCAAAAGTATATAGAGGATGCTGAACAAGATCTCTGCCAACCTTGTTCGCGCCGCGGGTGAACAGGCCCTCAGCACCTCCCAGGAGAGGCTCTGAAGGCCATAGTGACTAACGGCCAGTCTGAGGGCCTGAGAGGGGAGAAGCACAGGCTGACTAACCAAGGGAAGCCGTGGGTCCCACCTGACTGCATGAAGACCCACAGGCAGGAAGGCAAGACCGCCAGTCTAGTCCCCGAAAGCGAGAAAAGCAAATGAAGGAACTGCTGAAGCTTCACGCCACGTGCGTTTCCTCGACTCTCCTCGCCCTGCTGAGCCGCCCAAATGCGAGCGTCGTCCAGCGCGTGCGCAGAGCCTCACAGCTGCCGCCCAGCCGTGACCTGGTCTAGCACGCCCACCTAGCTTTACGGACTGCGCGTGCGTGGCCCCTTCGCACCACCCCTCCTAGGCCTGCCCGAGTCTCCCTTCAGGCCCACGCGCGCCCGTGCGCAAGCGCGAGACCGCCCTCCTGGTGACGTAACCACTGATTTGGCGTGCTCTAGCAGCTGCTTTCCCATCTCCCGCTCCCGAAATCTGGTGTTATGGCTGCCGCCGTGCCCCGCGCCGTTTCTCTCTCCCGACTGCTTTCCGTTCTCCTCGGCCTCTTGCTACTCTTTGCTCCGCATGGCGGCAGCGGCCTGCACACTAAGGGCGCCCTTCCCTTGGATACAGTCACTTTCTACAAGGTAATGGGGGTCGGGGGGTCGTGCGCAGGTGCAGCTATGGCGCCCGTGGGAACGTTGGGTCAGAAGGGATGGCAGGAAGTAGACCACAAGGCACTGTCCCTAGACGTCCCACCGTGTTAGCCGGGACCAGGGCCGTATATGACCATCCGGCACCTACACCGCAGGGTCCGGAGGCACCCTTGCCTTTGCAGCACAGCTATTTGCTTCCTCATTTACAAAAGCGCTGCAAAGGTGCCGTCAAGGGAACTGAGTGTCCCTTCCCTTTATCTCTAGGGAAAAGACAATGCCGGGCGAGATCCAATCCTCGAGTCCCAAGTGGAAGACCGGAGGGCGGAGCGAGGTCGCTGCAACTCGGCTCCCTGGTGGGGTGGGGGTGGCGAAGAGAACTCAGCACATTAGCATGCATGTCTGCGCCCCTCTTTGAGGATGAATTGTAGCTTGCTTTGCAATATGCAAACCACGCATTTCCCTGCTAAATACAAGGGTTAAGAACAGGCTGTGGTTCACCCGTGTATGGAACATGTTGGGCCTGGGACCGAAGTGCATAGAACCATATTAAGGCATGGAAGATCTGCCACTATCCCCCAGCTCACCTTTTACAAAATTTGGGATCCAGGTTGAGGTAAATGAACAGTAGAATTGTTGAAGGCTGAATCCAGCGGCCTTCAGTGGACTGTCAAGCATCTGTCTCCAGCCACCAACAGCTTTTCACTTCTAAATGGGCAAGCTAAGCTTTGAGAGAGGTAATCGTTTCTTATTTTGTACCCCATTGGGGAACTGAAAACAAGAAGTGGATCTTTAAACGTGTGGCTTGTAGTGGACTGGGCACTTGTAGCCCATTCAAGGCAGTTTTTAGGAACTTTAAAATGCAGGTATAACTGGTTGATTGTCAAGACACACTCTACATTAATCACCCTCTCAACTCTATAGGAATCCAGTAACATCACAGTCCAATTTGAATACAATGGACATTTTGCACTCTATCAGTTGGCGTGGCTCCATCTTGACTAACTACTGCCTTGGTTAGGCTGTCATTACAGTAACCTCATGGCCTCCCTGTTCACCCCTGGAGACTCCACATATACCAAGTCCTACAGGAAATACCCTTTGTTCCCTCTCATTTTCTAACCATTTTCCTACTTGTCCCATCTGCTCCAGCCATACAGCCTTCTTTCCATCTTTGACTATTCTTAGCTCATAATGGTTAGTATACATTTGTACTAGTTGTTCCCTGTGACTGGAACATTCTTCTCCCAGTCTTTGAGAAAGCAGGTTACTTCTCAATGTTGAGTCTTAAGTTAAATATACCTCCTTAGATTCCTTTCTGGATTTCCCTGCCCCCTCCCCCATTTCTCTTCAGGGCACTCATCAATTTTTTTCTGTCAGTTTTCATATTGCTCATAATATTATATGCTTGTGAAGAAGTACCTTGTCCATTTTTCTCCTAACTATTCACACAGCATTCCAGGTTAACCATCATACAGAAGATGCTCAATAAATAACTTGCTGCATGAAAGAACAGGTGTTTCCTCCAGTGTCTTCCCAAATTGATTCTCATCCATCATATCAAACAAACTTAAGGGTGTTTTGTCCAGGAACTTTGTTCCACACTTTGCCTTTTAAGTGATCTCCAACTTAAAAATTTTTTAATACTAATTTTTTTTTAACCCATCACTAGAATGCTAGCTACTAGCATCACTAGATAAGAGAACTTGGCTATGTTGTTCACTACTGTGTTTATTTAGAATCGTGTCTAAGACTTGATGGGCCCTTAGCAACTTTTTATTCAAGTAACAAATGGGTAAAGAATTTCAGCCAGGGAGCTGGAGAGATGGCTTAGCGGTTAAGAACACTGGCTATTCTTGCAGAGGAACTGGGTTCAATTCCCAGCACCCACACGGTGACTAACAACCATCTGTAACTCCAGTTCCAGGGGATCTGACCCCCTCTTCTTTTTTTTATTTTTTTTTAATATTATTTTTATTTTATGTATATGAGTATATTGCCTGCATGTATGTGTCGTGCAATGCCGCGGGGGTCAGAAGAGGGCTTTGGATTCCTCTGGAACTTGAGTTAAAGATGGTTCGTAGCCACCATGTGGGTGCTGGGAATTGAACCCAGGTCCTCTGCAAGAGCAGTCAGTGCTCTTAACCACTGAGCCATCTCTCCAACCCCTGATGCCCTCTTCTGACCTCCGTGGGCATTGTACAACATGGGTGCACTTATACATACACAGGCAATACATTCATACACATAAAATAATAAAATTTGGGGGGTCTTTTTGAAGCAGGGTCTCCCTATAGCCCCAGCTGGCCTGGAACTCACCTGCCTCCACCTCCCAAATGCTGGGATTAAAGACGTTCCACTTCACCCAGCTAAAATAATAAAACATTTAAAAATATATTTATTATTTTTATGTGTATGGGTGTGTTGCCTGTATGTAGGCAAGTGTACCCACGTCATGCAATGCCCACGGAGGACAGAAGAGGCTGTTGGAGCCCCTGGAGCTGGAGTTACAGACAGTTGTTAGCTGCCATGTGTGTGCTGGGATTCGAACCACGGTCCTCTGCAAGAACAGCCAGTGTTCTTAACCACTGAACCATCCAGCCCCTGAAATAATTAAAAAAAAATTAAAAAGAATTTCAGCCAGGCATGGTGGTATACATCTGTAATCCCAACACTGGGAAGGCTGAGGCATGAGTTCAGAGCCTACATAGCAAGTTCAAGATGAGTCTAGGCAACTTAATGAGACCCTGTTTCAAAAAAAAAAAAAAAAAAAATCAAAACAAAAATTGCCAATGCAGGGCTGCTGAGATGGTTCAGCAGGTATAGGTATTTGCTGCCAAGGATGACCTGAGTTCAATCCCTGGGACCCAAATAGCAAAAGGAGAGAACTGACTTCCATAGGTTGTCCTCTGATCTCCATGCACAAAAAATAAATTTTGTGTGTATAAATACACACAAAATAATAAAGTGAAAAACATGACACTTTGTTCATCAATGTTAGCTAAAATCTCTCAGCTCTACTCCAGGCCACTGTGTGATTGTAAGTATTCTATATTACAAGGATATGCTCCTTAACAGGGACCTTGTATTGTGCTTTTTTAAATTGCAGATGGGGTCTCCCTGTAGCTCCAGCTGGCCTGGAACTTGCTATGAAGACCAGGCTGCCTTTGTCTCCAGTGCTAGGATTAAAGGCGTGTGCCTCCATGCCGGCCCAAGTGTTGTGCCCCATTCTCATCTGCCACACCTATACTCAAGCATGTAGCACTTGCTCTCAAAGACTGCTAGAGTTGTTAATTCATAACATTTTTCAGAATACCTGAAATATGCCCAACACTGGAACTTTAGGAATACAGAACATGGATCATACATGGTCCTTATTCCTTATAAATGTACATCCTGGTATAGAGGATACAACAAGCAAATACCAGTTTAAGATTGTGAAAGAAAACTCTCAGATGTGAGAGTATTAGGGAAGTGAAGTAATAAAGGTGGTTGGAAGAGTCCTTCCCATTAGAGGGGGACATTTGACCTGAGCTTGAATGGTAGAGACAGCCATGTGCAGAACCAGTGAAGGAGGAGCATTCCAAGCAGCAAAAGAGTTGAGCTGAAACAAGGCCAGCTGGAGCAGACGGATGTGATCAGATTTATATTTTCAGTCGTCCTTGCTTGCAGGCCCCCAGAGCTCAGATGTTTTTGGTGTCAGTGACCACTTAAAGATAACCTGCTCTGGTGACTTGTGTCCTTTATGTCCCTAAGGCAGTGTTGATGTCCTTAAAAGCCTGAAGCCAAGTGAATATCAATTCTTAGTAAACAAAAATGTTTCTTTGCCTGCAAGTAGAACTATGTCAGCTTGATATCATTATACAGTGATTACCTGTGATGAAAATCAGACAGTATAGGACCTCTGGCTTAGAAAAGTAAAAAGGAGGAGGAGGCTGGAGAGATAAATCAGCAGTTAAGAGCAGGCACTACTCTTGCCAAGGACTCAAGTTTGGTTCCAAACACCCATGTCAGATAGCTCACAACCAACTGTAACTCCAGCCCCAGGGGGATTTGATGCCTCTGGCTTCCAAGGGCACCTGTACAGACACATCTTGCATTCCTCAGAAAGTTAAATGTAGATTTACCATTATGACCCCCTGTAGTTCCATTCCTGGTAACCCCAGGAGGATTTAATTCTGGTGTTCAAACAAAACATGTATGAATGATCTGGATGTGCCATCTACAGGAACCAAAGGTAGAATCAACTCACATGTCTGCCAGTTAATATGTGGTTTACTTGACCAAAAAAAGATAAGTACTAAGCTGGATGTGGTGGTGCATGCCTGTAATCTCAGTGCTCAGGAGGCTGAGGCAGGACAATCAGTGTGTGAGCCTGGCTGGACTATGTAGACCCTGTCTGAAAACAGGAAAAAGAAAGGCATTAAGTATTGACCCATACTATAACATGAGAAAGTTTTAAAAACAGTCTAGGCAAAGAACTCAGGCGCAATACAATAAATGATTCTACCTGAGCAGACAAACATGTACAGAGACAGCAGGGCTAGGACTGGAACTGTTTAATTGGTACAGATTTTTCCTTGGCAATAAACTATCTAGTTCCTCAGGGGAAGTAGACAGTAATGATGGTTAAGTTACGTTGTTAATACACTAAATTTCACTGAGTTGTATCGAGGCTTCCCCCCCCTTTTTTTTTTATTTAAATCAATTCTTTAAAAATATTTATTCAGTAAATATTTATTGGACAGACTGAGCTGAAAAATACATTTCTTGAAGATTTTTGTTGAGTTTTCAGTACTGTTCCTGAACATCCTCAGGCAACTGTTCTAATACATATGGTATGCAAATGATATACTGTTTATGGAAGCTATTCTTCCTTTCCAGTTGTCCAAGGTCCTATATGTAGACCAGACTGGCCTCCAACTTGCAGCAATCTCTTGCCTCTGCCTCCTAAGTGCTAGGATTACAGGCATGTACCACCATGCCTGGCTGAACTCTTATGTGTTAAATTGGTAAATCTTTTTTTTTTAATTAAAACATTTTTATTTTATGTGTATGCATGTTATGCCTGCATGTGTGTAAGTGCACCTGCATTGTGCAGTACCTGTGGAGGACAATGAGGGTGTTGAATCCCCTGGAACTGGAGTTACGATTATGAATCTTAATTTTATTGCAATTAAAATTAAAACTCTGGCCTTGACAATTCAAGACACAGAGATGTAGCTAAAGGGAACTCTGGTCTTGGGAGTAGATACTGACCCAAGCCTGGCCTCTCACCAACTTTATATCTGGCCCCAAATTGCTCAGTTCAGTTCGAACTCTGGCCTCTGTAGTCAAAGCATCCTGAATGGTACAAACCCTTTATGTATTTGTTTGCTTTTATCAGATTCATGATTCAGTACTGAGAACTGCCTCTTGAGATGGGAGACATGATGGGACAGAGGAGTGCATGCTAAGGTTTCCTTGGTCTTACTGAAAGAGACAATGGAGGCTCTGTTTATCTACAACCTTGTATTAGTCTAGATGGGGCTATATAGTCTACTAGTGCAAACATATACATACCTAGTAAATCACCCAGCACATAACAAGCACATCCTAAATTGTTATGTGAATCAGTGGGTGAATGAATGAGTATAATGTTGTGAGAGCTTGTCTCCTTTGTAGGCTTGTTTCCACTGTTTCTTAAACAGGGGTCCTTGGGAAGGGGAATTGGCCTTAAAGGTCCCTGGAACAACCCATTTGATCAGCTCTGTGTGCTCTCAGGTCATTCCCAAAAGCAAGTTTGTCTTGGTGAAGTTTGACACCCAGTACCCCTACGGTGAGAAGCAGGATGAGTTCAAGCATCTGGCTGAAAACTCGGCCTCCAGTGATGATCTCTTGGTGGCAGAGGTGGGGATCTCAGGTACGGACAAGCCCAAGACAACTGGGATGGGGAGAGAGGGAGGGTACCCAGCACCTTTTTGTAGGAGTCATTTGCAAGGAAAAATTGGTTCTATGGTCTGTCAAGGAATGTGGTGCCCACCCTTGGGACCTTAGCTCAGCCTTATAGGCACCCGAAGGGAAAATATATGTATTTTAGGCTTGAAAAGCTGAAGCTCCAGGAGGTGACTTCTCAGGCCATGGGGTATGGAGGGGCTTGAAAAGCTGAAGCTCCAGGAGGTGACTTCTCAGGCCATGGGGTATGGAGGGGCTTGAAAAGCTGAAGCTCCAGGAGGTGACTTCTCAGGCCATGGGGTATGGAGGAACCCATTCAAAACTCCACTGAGGTGTTTTTCTGGCACAGTAGCCTCTTATCTGTGTCCTCCCAGCTAGAATGCTACAATTCCCAAGGGAGCTAGGAACTTCCTGGAGTCTGGTTGTAGTAGAGATGGCTGGCACACTTATCCAGGGTCTATACTCAATTTCCAGTCAGTTCCCCTGGAGCTTTAATAACAGTAATGACAGCTAACATACATCCCATATTTACAGTGTCCCAGGGCCACTGTGCTAAGCGTTTCCTGTGTATTTCATCCTCCTGACAAATCTATGAGGGAAATACTATGGTACTATTACCTTCATTTTTCAAATGGCTAAGAGTAATTTACTGAAGTTAGTAGAACAGTTAAATGGCAGAACTAGGATTGAAGCCCCAAGCACCCAACACTACTGCTCAGTAGTTGGTCTTGGCCATTTCTTCTTGCCAAAGTGTGAGAAATCATTTGTCACAGGGGACTACTGCCTATTGGGAAGGACAATGAAAAGAGGACCTTCAACTCCCACATATTAAGCACTTCACTCTGCCACACTGATGTATTCATTCCCTCACTGGTCTTCCCGACAGCCTTTGTGTAGCAGGGAGGGCTGCCACTGTCTACTACACACTGCTCCTTCCTTTCTTTCTACAAAACTCCCACCAGACTGGCTATATAAGGTTCATATCTTCTGAGTTCAGCCCCTGCCCAGACCTTTTACACTTGGAATCATTTCTCCAAGGCATTCCTCCCAGATGTTCATGTGGTTGACTCCTTGGCATTCAAGTCCCTCAGCTGCTGTCATTCCCACAGAGCCTTCAGTGCTGGGCTGATTGGACTTCCTCACCCAGGCACTATCCCATCAGCCTATTCTGTTTTCATCTTCTTACTACAAGCTCATCAAGGTGTTTTAGAGTTTGGTAATGTAATCATACCTAGGTCTTTACAACTAGTTATGGCACTTAGTAGACATAGATATCCAAGAGACTCCCTGTGTTCCAGAAAAGGGATGATCAGAGACAATAACTAAAGCCACATAAGCTAGGACTGGCAGAAGAATTCAAGGGCTCTGGCTAGACTCCATTGCACAGAAGCTTTGAGGTTCTCCCTCTGTGCTCATAGTAGTGCTCTATCCCAAGTTCCTTATGTTTGGTTTCTGTTCACAGACTATGGGGACAAACTGAACATGGAGCTGAGTGAGAAATACAAGCTGGACAAAGACAACTATCCAATCTTTTACCTCTTCCGAGATGGGGACTTTGAGAACCCAGTCCCATACAGTGGGGCAATAAAAGTGGGAGCCATTCAACGTTGGCTAAAGGGACAAGGAGTCTACCTGGGTATGCCTGGTTGCCTGCCTGCTTATGATGCCCTGGCAGGGGAGTTCATCAAGGCCTCCAATGTGGAGGCACGCCAGGCCCTCTTGAAACAGGGGCAGGACAACCTCTCAAGTGTGAAGGAGACTGAGAAGAAGTGGGCAGAGCAGTACCTGAAGATTATGGGGAAGATCTTAGACCAAGGTGAGGACTTCCCAGCCTCAGAGATGACCCGGATCACCAAGCTGATTGAGAAGAACAAGATGAGTGATGGGAAGAAGGAAGGGCTTCAGAAGAGTTTAAACATCCTGACTGCTTTCCAGAAGAAGGGAGCTGAGAAGGAGGAGTTGTGAAAAGGCACTCAGGTTTTTCAGGGTTTGCTGGGGGCAGGGAGGCTGTGACCCTTGTGGGATATAAAGGGGTGGTGGAAAAAAGTGGTCCTGAACCAGAAATCTGAGCCTTGAGTACACCTGGACATTCATGCTGCTGCCACCATGCTTGGGACATCTCTAGAGCCACTGTAGGGAGAGCCTGAATGCTCACTGACAGCTAGCAAAATGCCCCTCAAAGACTCAGTGCTACAGAGGAGGGTGCTGCCAGGGCCTTGACAGATTCTGATCAAATAAAAGTTTCAGTGTTTTGGTTAAATGCATCAGAAGCCATTTGCTTCTCTTTCAAATTACATTTTTTTTAAACTTTAGTTTTGAATCCATTGTGCCAGGGGGGGAAAAAACTGATCCCAGCCTAAGGCACAACCTTTGTTAACTTTCCAGTGAGATTGACACTGGTGAATTATGATGTGGTATACTGTGTTGCATAACTTCTGATCCTTTAGCTTAGTAGCAACATTGAACCACATTAAACTGACATCAATATGCAAACAACTGGGCATTATTTTCGTATTCACTCTGTACAGCAAATTTTTAGTTTTTATGGCAAATTCTTTGTTTACTAATATTTTTAGACTTTATACAACCAAAACTGCATGGTGGCACATACCTGTAATCCCAACATTAGGGAAGTAGAGAAAAAGGATTCCATAGTGCAAGACCAGTTAAAATAGTTAAGGAGAGAGACATGGTTTCAAAAAAAAAAAAAAGAGAGAAGATGCAGTTCAGTCCACTTTGAAAGTTAATTGCTTTACCTCAAACAATAACTTTTAATAAGCATAGGGGAACACAACAAACGTACTCAAGTTTGGGAAACCAGACTCTTGCAATAAGCTTCAAACATGCCCCACCCTCACATCAGTTAGAAAAATGCTCTCAAAACTGCAGTTCCAGACAGCATTGGTGGTTTGTGGTTCAGTGGTAGAATTCTCGCCTCCCACATGGGAGACCTGGGTTCAATTCCCAGGCCAGTGCATACCTAGCTCCCTTGCCGGGCGTGGTGATGCACGCCTTTAATCCCAGCACTCGGGAGGCAGAGGCAGGCAGATCTCTGTGAGTTCAAGGCCAGCCTGGTCTACATAGTGAGTTCCAGGACAGCTGGGGCTACAGGGAGATCCTGACTCAAAAAGACCAAAAAAACAAAAACAAAAAAAACCCTGCAGTTCCTCTGCACACACACACAAATGTACATTAAATGGAGCTGGCAAATAGCACAAATTATTTCTTTTCCTCCATTTCAGTCAGATGATTGCTATTAGAAGAGATCATTTAAAGAGATCCTGTAACAGTTGCAGAGATGACTCAATGGCTAACAGTACTTAGAGAGGAACCAGCTCTAGCACCCACATCAGGCAGTTCACAAGTGCCTGTCACTCCAGTTCCAAGGGACCCAATACTCTCTCTCTTCTGGTCTCTAGAAGCACCTGCACACACATGATGCACATAAATTCAGACAGGCACACACACAAAAAAAAATAAAAAGCCGGGCATGAAGGTGCACACCTTTAATCCCAGCACATGGGAGGCAGAGGCAGGCAGATCTCTATGAGTTTGAAGCCAGCCTGGTTTACATAGCAAGTTCCAGGCCAGCTGGGATTACAGGGAGACCCTGTCTCAAAAAGACGAAAAAATAATCAATCATGAGGAGCTGGGATATGGCTCAGTGATTAAGAACACTGTTGTTGCAGAGGAACAGATCAATTTCTGTCACCCACATGGTAGCTAACAACTGTAATTCCAGTTCCAGGGGATCCAACACCCTCTCTGGCCTCAGCAGGCATTGCATCATGTGTTGCACTTTCCATGCAGGCAAAATATACAAATGTTTTAAATAATAATAGACATTAGTAAGCCGGGCATGGTGGTACATGCCTTTAATCCCAGCACTTGGGAGGCAGAGGCAGGCAGATCTCTGCGAGTTCGAGGCCAGCCTGGTCTACACAGCAAGTTTCAGGCCAGCTGGGGCTACAGGGAGACCCTGTTTCAAAAAGACCAAAAAAATAAAGATTAAAAATAAATAATAGGGGCTGGAGAGATGGCTCAGCGGTTAAGAGCACTGACTGCTCTTGCAGAGGACCCGGGTTCAAGTCCTGGCACCCACATGGCAACTATGAACTGTCCTTAACTCCAGTTCTAGGGGAATCTGAAGTCCTCTTCTGACCTCCGCATTGCATGACATGGGTGCACTCACATACATGCAAGCAATACACTTGTACACATAAAATAAAAATATTAAAAATCAATAACAGACATTGGAAACAAAAGTGGATGAAAATCCTTGTGTTACATTGGATAAACAAAAAGGAAGGTACCTTAGGCTAACAACATCTACCTGTAGTCAGCATACACATTCTTCATCTGAGGAAAGAATCTAAGATTTATAGGATCTGATATTTTAATTTTAAATTCAAATTGAAACTCTTGGGAGAATCTCCTTGGAAGCATCTAAATTTGCCTGTTCCCATTTACATTACCTAGCTAGGCCAGACTAATTCCAAAGAACAAAGCATTCATTATGTTATAGAAATCAGAATACCGACAGCCCTTGACTATGGTCTAATCTCTAGCCTCTCTGAAACAGGACAGTGTGGCAGTCTACCCATTACTATGTCACAGGATAGGTTCAGGCTGGTCATTTATAACCCCAGGAGGGGTGGGGCAGGTCTAAATTACCGGATGTCAGAGGCCTTCTGTTTGCAACACTGTTAAAAAGAAGGGCCTTCTGTTTCCAGTTTTTATTTGCCTCAGCAGTTCCCATATGCCACAAAAATGCAGTCTTCGATACTGAAGTCATGATTCCTTGCAACTTTGTGGCCCAGTGCAGCTATTCAAATTCTAATGAAGGCTACAGACTGGTTTCTTAGAATCAAACAACATAAAAAAATTTTTTTTTCTTTTGATTTCTCAGTGTATAGTTCAATGTAATGCCAGTTTTTAATGGCAAAAATTTGGTTCCACTCAAAGTTCATAATGCTACAGAGAGCTACTACTTTCCAGGAAATAGGTGAACAGCTGGAAAGAGAAAGTATAACTTCCTAGCAGCATGGCAGCTGGAGCCAGACCGGGAAGGTCTGTGACCCTCGTATTCAAAATGGCACAAACACAGCTGGTGACAGAAGAAATGGGGACAAGAAATGGGGACAAGACATGGACACCAAGGAGCACTGTGTGCACTGCAACAACAACAAACAAACCAAATGTACAGGTTCTAAGGGTAAATATAAAAAAGGGAACCAAGTATTTTACTCAAATGCTTTGCAGAGCCTTTCTGTAGATACAAATACATATATTTATCCAAAAATGTTTTATACAGATAAATGTTTCTCAATTAAAGATGGGTCCAAAGCTACAGTATAACATAAAGCATTGTCTTTTGTCAAGAGTATCCACCTGAATTCAATTTCTTTAAAGTCAGTGGATTGGTTTTCCAAGGCATTATTTCTTAAAAGGGTTTTCAGGTTAAATGATATCTAACATGCTATGCATATCAAACTTATGACAAGCCCCATAAAGAATTATTACTAAACATATAAAAAAGGGCTATGTAAGTTGGATATTCCTCCTCACAGTTTAAACGTTTTCTGACTGCCAGCTTATAGATGTGGAAAAGTTTTAAGGGAATGCTTGATAACCTGTAGCAGGAAAGACATTGGATCCAACATCAAGAATTTTGTTCTGGGGCTGGAGAGATGGCTCAGTAGTTAAGAGCACTAGCTGCTCTTGCATAAGACCAAGGTTTAGTTCCCAGCACCCACATGGCAGCTAACAATTGTCTATAACTCCAGTTGCAGTTCTGACCTCCACAGGCATTGCAGGACATAGGTGCACTTACATGCACGCAATACATTCATATACATAATTTCTAAAATTTTAGAAAATAATTTTAAGGAACTTCAAATTTTCTCAAAACTTGCTAAGAATAATTTTGACAAGTAACAAATGCCATAAAAAACGTGGGTCAGGTCTGGTGGTGCACACCTTAAATCCCAGCACTCATAAGGCATAGGCAGGCTGATCTCTGTGAGATTGAGGCCAGCATGATCAATATAGTGGGTTCCTGGCCAGCTGGAGCTGCAGGGAGACCCTGTCTCAAAAAGACCAAAAATAAACAAATAAATAAAGCTGCGCACAGTGCTGCACACCTGCAATCTCAGCACTTGGAAGGCTGAGGCAGAAAGGTGGTGTGTTGAAGTAAGGATCTAGATTTGAACTAATCTGGGACCCAGACATGTTTCCTGGACTATAAAGAAGCTACAAGTTAAAAGCTGTGTCCCTCAAGCATAAGCTGCAGTGGGAAGCCATAAATTAATTGTATGATGGTTGGGTTCACAGTATCCCATGTACTCATCACCATGCAACAAGTCTGCATCATGCAGTAGCAGCGTATAAAGTTGCTGGTCTAGTAGAGAAAACTGAAAACAGCAGTGAGGTACAGGCAAGAGCCCACCTTTGTATTAATGGAAAAAGAACATTCAGATGAAGTTCATTCCTAATGGAAGATGACAAAAACTGGTCTACAGGGATTTATTATCAAGACTAAAAGGAAAAACAGCTCCCATTTCCACTGTGTTGACAATGAGCACAAAGAAAATATAAATCAGCTTGTTGAGTTCAAGGATCCTTGTACCCAAGGATGTCATGCCATCAGCATGCTGAGATATTCCAGTAACTTCATTTAGGGTTCAAATCTAAGGCCTTGGGCTACATAAGGTCACTCTGCTTTCTCTTTCTTCTTTCACTAAATCATGGAAGCTGTTCAGGCTTCCCTACTTGGGCGTTTGCAGTTGCACTTTGTCGAGGGCTGACTCTTCATCACTCAGGCCAGATGTTACCACCTGACAGGTCCTTTCATGCCCCAATCTGAAGTGACTTTCTAGATCCATGCTATGACATAGCCTCACACACCTCAACACACAGAACAGCATTTCAAACTGATCTTTAATTTTATCTACATTTTTCCACCTCACAGCCTTTAATTAGGATATAGGGTCTCATTTACCAACAGAGACCAAAATTTAGGAATCTGGCACATGACAACTGCTCTTGGTATATTTGTTAAATTAATAAATATGAGTATGCAAGGTACTACTTTTAAGTAAAAAAGATTAACTTTAATCTTTATTTTTGTTTTGAAGTCAGGGTCTAAAGTAGTCATGGATGGTTTTGCCCTCTTTATCCTCCAGGCCTCCACCTCCCAGGTGCTGGGATTACAGATGTGTCCCATTCCCAACTACAATTTAAAAATGTTGTTAGGGAGCTGGAGAGATGGCTCAGTGGTTAAGAACATTGGTTGTTCTTGCAGAAGACCCAGGTTCGAATCCCAGCACCCACATGGCTGCTAACAACTGTCCGTAACTCCAGTTCCAGGGGATCCGACAGCCTCTCTGACCTCCACCGGCATTGCACAATACGGGTGCACTTACCTACACGCAGGCAATACATGCATACACATAAAAACAATAAAAAAATTTTTTTAAATAAAAAAATAAAAATGTTGTTAGGGATAAAGTACTCAGTAGACAGTTGAGATGAGTTACATGATTTAAGAAGCTTTAGTCAGACATGGTGACACATATCTTTGATCCCAACACTTGGGAGGCAGAGGCAGGAGAATTGCTGAGAGTTCCAGGCCAGCCTGAAATAGTATTTTCCAGGCCAGCTGAGGCTACACAGTGAGACCCTCAGAAAGAAAGAAAAAGAAAAGATGGTAGCTTTAAGACTAAACATGAACTGGGCAGAAGTCCCAACTTAAAATGACACCATTTGTGCAAATTAACCTGTCCAGTTTAAAGCAGATTTGCTGTACTTCACTAATTCTGGAGATTTTCCACATCAACAGATCACATCAAATATGTGCAGGAAAAGTTTCAACAACCTTGCAGATAACCTGAACCCCCCCCTTTATTTAAAAGTTAAAATGAAAGACAAACCCAGATTGAACGTGGTGATTGCAAAATATAATGCAATTCTGAACAATTAAAATTATGAAAATATACAAAATTGATGGGTAGCACAACTAGGTATTTGTACATTTTCATTATGTGGAGAACACTAAAATTATGTTTTATCCACATCAGATAAATGATCTGAACCCAATGTTTGCTGTGGAAAGCCTTACGAGTCTCAGTAGTATAAAGAACAGTAATTTTTCAGTCTGTAAATAGTAGTCATGTTTTTTCTTTCTTTTTTTAAAATATCAATTACTAAACAAAAACTCATAAAAATCAAACAGCAGCAGCAAAAGGTTACTGAGCACTTGTCAAATATCAACAACATACAATTGCGGGGAGAGGGTTTCTTTACTCATGTAAGAATATATATATATATATTTTTTTTTAACTGTACAATTTATAGTGCATGACAGTTTCCAAAAGAACAGACTGATAAAAGATATCGGCCATTTCTGCATAATTTCATTCTTTTTACAATTATTTCAAAATGTAAGAATTGGATCTAACTGAAATGCTACATTTAGTAGGAAAATCAGCAAGTAACAAAGGAAGCATAACTCCAATGTAACATCATTTGTCAGTAAAACCAGCGGCGGTCCCAGACAGCCAGGGCAGGAGACTGGTTGGATAGACCACTAGAGTCTCAGGCTGTGCCTGAGGACCAGAGCCAGCCAATTGAGCATACATACTCTACCTGGTCATGGTCAGTGACAGAGCTGTTTCAAAGAACATCTCTAGTTCTATGTACAGTACTTTTTTTTAATATTCCAAGAAACATTATTCTTAGAGCACACACCATACACCCCCACTGTTGCATATGTACAAAGTTCCACTGAAAATGGGCCATAGTTTTATAAAATGATATATTGATGATAAAGGCAATTCAGAATCAATTAGAATTTTCAATTCATCTTATTCAAGGACAGTCTACATTTTGGAATGATGTGATACTGTCACTACTAATTTATATTAAAAAAATTTGTGAAATTACTTGGTAGTCTAGGTTTTCCAACAAATCTTAGAGATAATGTAGTGATTTCTAAAAATTTCCTTAGATGTTTAAGCTGTTATTAACCACCACATCAAATTGTGACCCTAAGAAAGCAAACCCTGCATACAAAGATTTTTCCAGCTCTCGGTTGGCTTTTACAGAAACATCACATTTCACTGAAGCAGTGTATAGGAAAAGGCCTTTAGGGTCTCTGCGACCAAGCCTCGTTACATTCATTTCTTCACTCTTACAGAACTACTATTTGGGTAACACAAACCAGTAACAGAAGCAGGGATTCAAACACCAAGAAAAAAAAAAAAAGTTATCAAAGAAGTTGTAAAAATTTAGTATAACACATTCAAGAGCAATTTTTATCTTCACTATGAGAACAACCTGAAACTACAGTCTTAAGGGCGAGACCTCCATCTTCCAGGTGAACAAAGTACATACCATCCTGGTATAGTTAACAAGTTCTAACATCCATTGTAAAACATTTCTTTTGCCAACTTAAAACAGGTTAAATCTATAGTATACAATTCCTTTCTTCCTAAACTCCCCACTTCAAAACACTAAAATAGTAAATCTTTCTCTTCAAGCATATCTATAAATATATATGCATATACATAAGACTCAAACTGCAGTATGTTACTCACAGAAACAATGAAACAAATATCAGGCTTGCCTGCACAAATTATGTACACTTCTCTTTAAAACAGCTCTTCCTATCTTTCCTAAATAACTAACAGCAAGCTAGTTCTTAGTAGGCTTAAGTGTTAGGTGGTCTAACTGAACAGCTATAAATGAACAGAGCCTTCCTTGCCTCCCTGAGATTTAACTCTCCCAGGTGCTGGGATGGGTATATCTTGGCTATTAGGCCTATGAAGCCAAAAACTGAGCACCTGTGGTCTTGTTTGGTGCCGTGCAGTGGCAAGTGATTATGCCAAATCTCACCTGAGGCTCTTTGTGGACCTGCCCGGATCTGTGGCATCCCCGCAGCTGAGGAAGCCTCATAGTGAACCTGCCATGGAGGAAAGGGCTCTGCTCCCAGTCATGTCTGCCCCTATGTCTGCTTTCGGCCTCCTATGGCTCAAGGACCAGATCCACTTGCTCTATTGTTGCTTTTATAGAAACCCCACCATGCTTCTGGTGATGGGAGGGAAGTGGGCTTCTCTTGTTGCTGTTATATTTGTATGAACAGGTATAAAAAGTGGTCAAACCCATGAGGGTCCTGCTTCTGGTTTATATACAATAATTTAATCAGCTGTATACATTTAATACCTCAAAAAATTAATTCACGATCAAAGTCCTTCATGCATTTATGAGGAAGTTCTGGATTAAAATGATGGCCAACCAGATGTTGCTTTGTGCCTGGGAAGATGATGTCATGTTCTGCTGTGGAGTCTTCAATGCCTGTGGTTCACACTTCCTTAAATTTTTAGTTTCTTTGTGGCCTCAAGTCTTTTTTTCAGCAGCTCCCCCATTTCCAGAAGTGAATGCAGGTAACTGCTCTGCACCTTTCCTTGCACAGTCTTTGAAAACCTTCTCTCTTCCTACAAAGGAAACAAAATAAGTGACTGTGCTAAAAGTCTTTTACACAGGTTACAGTTCCTCAGATAAAACTATCATACCTCATTGTAAGTGTTATCAGAATACCTGGATCATTTTCAAATTCATAAAATACAAAGAAGCTAAAGTCTACTGCAGGTGCTATGCTTTTCTGTGTAATTTTTTTTTTTTCCCACTGAGATTGTCCTGAAGTCCTCTTTCTTATAAGTTATATAATGTGGGAAGTGGCTCAGGCTGGTCTCAGACCCATGAACTCAGCTTCTTGAGTGCTGAGATGACAGGTGTGCATCACCATGCCCAGTCTGATTACAAGCTTTTAACTAAGAATAGTGGAAAATTCTTACAAAAGTATTTTAGACATAAAAATGATTATTTTTTTATAAGATGGGTAAAATAAAAAATATGAGATTTCTGGGGGCTGGAAAGATGGCTCAGCGGTTAAGAACACTGACTGTTCTTGCAGAAGACCCAGGTTTGAATCCCACTACCCACATAGCAGCTAACTGTCCGTAACTCCAGTTCCAGGGGATCTGACAGCCTCTTCTGTCCTCCTCCGGCATTGCACGATACAGGTGTACTTACCTACATGCAGGCAATACACGCATATACATAAAATAAAAATAATAAATAAAATATTTTTTAAAAATATGGGATTTCCAATTGTTTTCATCACAAAAATGTATACAAATTTATTAAAAATTTGGTTATCTTCACAGCCACTTTAAAAACATTTACTTTGGGGCTGGAGAGATGGCTCAGCAATTAAGAGCACTGAATGCTCTTACAGAGGATCTGGGTTTGAATCCTAATACCCAAATGGCAGCTAACAACCATCCATCTTCTGACCTCTGCAAGCACTGTACAACAAGGGTACACCTACTTACATGCAGGCAATACACTCATACACATAAAATATTTTAAAATTTTATTTTTATTTACATGTATGAATTTTGCCTACATGTATGTAAGTGCACCCATGTGGTGCAATGCTTATGGCGGCCAAAAGAGGGCATCAGCTCCCCTCTGGAACTGGAGTAATGGACAGCTGTTAGCCATGGGGGTGCTGGGAACCAAGCTCTGTAGGAGCAGCCAGTGCTCTTAACTGCACAGCCACTTTTAATAGCATCAACTTTACTGATTCCATCTTTTCCAAATCCCCTAGAGATAAAGAGAAGACCAGGGCTTTCTTAAGCCTTCTCACATAGTAGTCAAATATTTGCTGCCATATACTTGCCATGGTAAAGATCACAAAAAGAAGGGGGGGGGCAGGAGAGATGGCTTAGGGGTTAAGAGCACTGACTACTCTTGCAGAGGACCCCGGTTCAATTCTCAGTACCCAAATGGCGGCTACAGACCATCCTTAACTCCAGTTCCAGGGGAATCCAAAGCCCTCTTCTGACCTCTGCAGCACTGCATGATATGGGTGCACATCACATACATGCAGGCAATACACTCATACACATAAAATAAAAATAAATAAAATATTTTAAAAAGGGGGTGAGGAGTGGTTAAGTTTATATAAGGTTGACAGTGTTTTAAAGCACAGAACTACAACTGGAACCAAATTAGCACATTTCCTGACCTAACAGTACTACTATTTCAGATATAATCTGCCTTAGAAATGCATATGTGTATAGAATGGCATGTATAAAAATATTTTATTCAGCAGTATATGTAAAAAGCAAATACTACTGGCCCCTAGCCACATGTTTTATACCCATATATTTGACCAATTACATATCAAAACTAACCTAGGAAAATAAACTAAGTTCGTATGAACATGTTAAGACTTCTTTACGATCACTAAGATCAAAACAAGATAAAGATTACCTACACAGTGTTTACATTCGTCATCATGTGTAATCTAGATATGATTTTAAGTATACAGTAGGATGTACATGGGTTCCACGCAAATACTATGAAATTTTATAGAGACCTGGCTTCCACAGATTTTTGGTATCTATACTGTATACATACACTATGTATGCGTATTCTAGAACCAAACACTCATTGATGCCAAGACATGATTATCCAAAAGAAACCTAAAAGGACTGGGGGTAGCTCAATGGTAGAGTGCTTATCTAGCATATGCAAGACTCGAAGTTCCATCCTTAGTACCACCAAACTCAAGAGACACACACACACACACACACACAAACACACACACACACACACACATGAAAAAAACTTAAAATGTCCAGTGGTTGTGGTTCATTCATATTTAGATACTAAACAGATACTTAAAAAAGGAGACTGTCAGTATGAACAGGTCTCTTGAACACAATTTTGGTTGAGTAAAGAAATTCTTTACTGGGACTGGAGAGATGGCTCGGCAGTTAAGAGCACTGGCTGCTCTTACAGAGGTCTCCAGCTTGACTCCTTGGTGAAACCTTGCTCCTCTTCAAATGTTTCCATACCCATAAGACTTACTCATTTTAATATGAACAATTTGTTTTCTTCTTCTTTGGCGGGGGGCATGGTTTCACAAACTGCTCTTGCTGAGGACCCAGGTTCAGTTTCCAACACCTACATGGTGGCTTATAACCATTCTAACTCCAGTCCAGCTCTGATACCCTCTTCTGACCTCCCCAGGAATTACACACATGGTACACTTAATGCACACAAAACATAAAATAAAAATAACTTTTTTGACCCCCCCCCAAAATAAGTAATTTTTTTAAAAAAATGCTGACTGCCTATAATCTCTTACCAGAGAGAAAGAAGTATCTTCTAAAATAAGTTCTTCAAGTTTAAGTGCAATTAGATGTGTTTCAAGTCCTTTAATATGATCCACAACATTGGAAATTAAAGTCTGGAGTCCAGTAACATAGTCTTGAAAACTGGTGAAGACAGGTGGCTAGGATTACAAAGATTTAAACGGTGTTAAAAGCCTATCAATCATTTCCTATGCCACATCATTACTTAACGTTATGCTAACGGGATGGATACAGTTTAGGATATTAAGAGTCTCAAGCAACCAATTACCTACAAACCCAACAATGATGGTTCATACTTTTTTGGATGGGAAGGATACTGGGTATTAACCTAATGCACACTAAGCAAGCACTCAACCACTGAGCTATATCCTCAGTTTAGGTTTTTGTTTTTTTTCTTTTATTGAGTTTTTATTTTATTCTGGGGGAGCTGGGAGAGAAGAAGCAGATAGAAAATATGTTATGGTCATTACTCATCCATGGGCTGGGAATGTTCTGAACACTATAGGAGACAGAAGGAAATCAAGACTTTACTTTTAAGACTGGGGAGATAGCTCAGTGGGTAAAGTACTTACCGTAAAAGGGTAAGGACTGGAGTTTGGCACCCTAGTAAATTCCAGGTTCGTGCCACAGCCTGTCTGTAATCCTAGCACTCAGGAGGCAGAGACAGAGGATTCTAGGAGCAAGCTGGCTATCTAGACTAACCAAACTGCTAGATTCTGGGTTCAGGTAACACCATGACTCAATATAAAAGTTGGAGAGCAATCCGAAAAGATAGCAGACTTGACATCAACCTCTGACCTGTATGTGTGCACCACACACCAAATATACATGTCAAAAAATAAAATCCCTTACTTTCCCTCTACTCTTTATACTTGAGATTTTCAGTAACGTTCATGGTGAAGAAAAATATAGTATTCTAGTTTCTAATGAAAAAACTAATGGATACAGAGCCAAGAAAATTCAGGAAAAGATAGTAACAATGGGGAGCTTGCACTAATAGATAAACATTGCTGTGTGTTTGCACATATGTGTGTTTTCATATATGTGGGTGAGCATGCACATGTGTTCAAGGTCAGAGTGTATCAGATGTTGTTTCTCAAGGACTGTCCAACTTTCCAAAAATATTTATTATTTAATTATTTGGGGGCATGAATGTTACAGTGCTTTCATGGAAATCAGAGGACAACTTCCACTATTTGGTTGCTAGGGATCAAATTCAGGATGTCAAGCTTGGCAGTGCCATTACCCACTGGGCTACTGACAGCCCCTGACTTAACATTTTTGAGAAAGTCTCTCACTGGCTTGGAACTCCAGCTAGGATGGCCAGCCTCATCACAGGAATCTTCATCTCCCCAGCTCTTCATCTCCCCAGCTCTGAGATTACATGTATGCCACACCAAGCCCAACTTTTTATTATGTGGGCTCTTGGGACTGAACTCACATCTTCCTGTACGTCGTTTTACAGACACCCTAGATAACCTTTGAAGTTATGATAAAATTAGGTATTTTTTTGTTTTTGGTCTTTTTGAGATCGGGCCTCCCTAGAGCCCCAGCTGGCTTGGAAGTCAGTATGTAGACCAGGCTGGCCTTGAATTCACAGAGATCTGCCTGCCTCTGCCTCCCAAGTGCTGGGATTAAAAGCATCCACCAAAAACTAGATGGTTTTTATAAGGAAACTGTATTTATAAATAGCTGGTATATAAGTGAACTGCCAAAAAAGCTAGGGTGTAGTGCAAAAGACAAAGTAAAAGGAAATAAGATGAAATAAACTGAAAGACAGGAAGGAATCTCAATGGCAGCATTTCAAGATAGCGGCATCAAGTGGATAAATAGTACTAGGAAAACTGGCTAGATGCTGGAAAATGCAAAATACAATGACAGTAAATACCTATTTTTCTGTTGTTTTATGTTACTGAGATGGGTCATTCTGTAACCCACGCTGACCTCTAAGTGGTGTTGATATACATACTTAAGTTTTTCCAGTGCTAGGATTTTAAGCTTGCCTCATCACTCAGTTCCAAAGGAAATTTCAGAGAGCTCAAACACTGTGATAGAATGAAGAGAAGGATGGAGGGATTAAAAAAAATGGCAGCAGGGTGGCTAATACCTGTAGTCCCAACAGTCCTGAGGTAGAGGTAGGCAGGTGGATCAGGAGTTCAAGGTTGTCCTTAATTTTATATGGAATTCAAAGCCAGCCTGGGCTACTTGAGTCCCTGTCTTAACAATAACAACAAAAAAATCAGCAAAGTACCAGAAGAAAGTTTAAGTAACAATTTGTTAAGCGGGAGTTGAAAGGGCCTTTATAAACATGATATTAAACTAGGAAAGCATTAGAAAGACTTTTTTCTAAAATTACCTATGCACTAAAAGAAAAAGTACTTGTCAAAATGACAAACTGGAAAAGTTGCATGATTTATGATAATGTACTAATATCATTATGATAAGATCCAAAATCTAGCTTTTCATTCATGAACTATTCTTTAAAGGCTTAGCATCATGTGGACTTGAAAAAATTCAAATATGATTCCCTATTAAGTAGCCAAGGATAAAGACAGTCTGTAGTCACACTATTTGTACTGTTCAAAATATTGTGAAGTGATTACATAAGTCATCAATAAAAATAGAGTATACGAACAGTGAAGATATAATCTATCATCTGTATTTTTAAAAGTATTTTACTTATTATTTTTATGTGTACGAGTGTATTGCCTGCATGTATGTGAGTGCAACCATGTCGTGCAATGCTGCGGAGGTCAAAAGAGGGCTTTGGATTCCCCTGGAACTGGAGTCAAGGACAGTTCATAGCCTTCAGGTGGGTGCTGGGAATCAAACCCAGGTCCTCTGCAAGAGCAGTCAGTGCTCTTAACTGCTGAGCCATCTCTCCAGCCCACATCTGTATTTATTGACATAAAAAGATGTCCAGGATCCAGGCAAGATAGTGCATGCCTTTATTCCTAGCACTTGGGAGGCAGAGGCAGGAGGATCTCTGTGAATTCAAGGCCAGCCTGGGGCTACAGGGAGACCTGTCTCAAAAAGACAAAAATAAATAAATAAATAAAAGATGTTCAATATCCTAAGTAAAAACAAACAAGTTTTTTTTTAAAGCTAAGTATCATGTAGACCAGGCCTCAAACTCTAGACCTTCCTGCCTTCACCGCCTGAATGCCACCATAGTCATCTCAAAACCTACAGAGCATGATGCTCAAGTGTTTATCACTAAAATATAAGCAGGAGTTATCACTCTGCTGGGAATGTGCTTGACTGCTACATTCACATGAGTCATTTTAATAATTAGAAAAAGGAAAAACATTTTTAGTAATCAGAAAAAAAAAATCCAAGGCTAATTGATAAGTTTTGGAACTGTATACTTTTTGGATTTTTTTTGTGTTTATTTGGTCTTTTTGAGACAGGTCTCAAAAAGGTCTTCCCTGTATCCCTAGCTGGTCTGGAACCCACTTATGTAGACCAAAGCTGGCCTTGATCTCACAGAGCTCCACCTGCCTCTGCCTCCTGAGTGCTGGAATTAAAGGCATGTACCACCACACCTGGCCAGAACTATACATTTTTATGCAAATGGGGATGTGGCTTGGTTAGTAGAGTGCTACAGCCCAGAGTTCCATCTCCAGGACACTCAGTTTGAAACCAACCTGCTGAGATACAAGACCTTGTCTTTAAAAACAACAACAACAACAACAACAACAAAAAACAAGACTACCTGGGGGAGGGAGGCAGCTCTGATCACCTGATCACCACTCTCAAATTTTATGCTCATGATTTGTTAAATTATACTTTTTGTTGTTTTTTATTAAAATAGCTTGACCAGAGTAAAGGGAAGAAGACACTCTTTTTTGGTCCCTTACTCAAATCAAATTGCCCTTTGTTGTTCAATGAATAGTAATACCCAGCAGTGTCTGAACAATTACTTAATGTTACAGAATTGCTCAGAGGTCGGTTTTACTAATGAGTCCATGAACATTTTCAAATGACAATGTTTAGTATAGGGAACAAAACTTTCTCATTAATCATAGTATAAAACTGAGCACATACCTATAATGCCAACACCAGGCAAACAGAAACAGGAAGATCTCAAGTTCAAGGCCAATCTGAACTACACAGTGAGTTCCAGATCAGTGTAAATGGTTTTTCCTTAAAAACATTTTTGTGGGGCTGGAGAGATGGCTCAGCAGTTAAGAACACTGGTTGTTCTTGCAGAAGACCTGGGTTTGAATCCCAGCACCCACATGGTAGCTAACAACTATCCATAACTCCAGTTCCAGGGGGATCCGGCAGCCTCCTCTGACCTCTGCAGGCATTGCACGACACGGGTGCACTTACTTACATGCAGGCAATACATGCGTAAACATAAAAATAAATATTTTTTTAAAAAAAAAACACATTTTTTGAGAGATGGCTCAGTGGTTAAGAGCACTGGTTGCTCTTGCAGAGGACCTGGGTTTGATTCCCAGCACCCACATGGTGGCTAACAACTTTCTGTAACTCTGGTTCTAGGGGATCTGATGCCCTCTTCTGACCTCCGAGGGCACTGCACAACATGGGTGTACCTACCTACATGCAAGCAATATACTCTTACACGTAAAATAATAAATATCTAAGGAAAGTTTGTAAAGAGGAGGGCAAAGACATTATTTAAAAAACCAAAACAAGCAGGGCGTGGTGGTGCATGCCTTTAGTCCCAGCACTCAGGAGGCAGAGGCAGGAGGATCTTTGTGAGTTCAAGTCCAGCCTGGTCTGCATAGTGAGGAGAGAGAGAGAGAGAGAGAGAGAGAAAGAAGAGAGAAAAAAAAAAAAAAAAAAAAAGACAGGATAAAAAAAACCCAACCTTTTTTTTGTGTATTTTTATTTTATGAGTATACTTTGCCTGCATGTATGTAAGTACATTCATGTATGCAATATCCATGGAGGCCAGAAAAGAGCATCATATCCCCAGGAACTGAAGTTACAGATAGTTTTTAGCCACCATGTGGGTGCTGGGAACTGTGCTCAGGTCCTCCAGCTCTCTAGACCAGGGTAAATTATATAGCAAGATCCTGAGTCAGAAAAAATAAAGGTTGGGAATGTGGCTCAGTAGTAGAGAGCACTAGTCTAGCATATGGAAGGCCCTGAGTTTGATCCTCCAGCTCTGCCACAACCCCAGGACCCATCCTCCATAACCACCCCCTGCACCACCACCCCCCACCACCCCAAATCACAGTGTTGAACATACCAGTGTAAGAAAAGGTTCAGGTTCATTCTAGTAGCAATGGATGCTAAACTAAAGCCAATGGGTAAAAAGCTGTGTGGTAGCATACACCAACTCCATAGCTTACCTTTTTCTTTTTCCTTTTTAAGAGAGAGAGAGAGACACACACACACAGAGAGAGACAGAGAGGCGGGGGCGGGGGGAAGGAAGGGAGGGGGAACAAGGGGGAGACAGAGCAAGAGATATGCCATGTGTATGAGTACCTATGGAAGCCAGAAGGTGTTGGACCCCCTAGTGCAACAGTTACAAGTGGTTTTAAGTAACTCCTATGGATATGGGAACCAAACACCAAACTTAGGTTCTCTGGAAAAGCAGCATGCGCTCTTAGCTGCCAAGCCATCTCTCCAGCCCCCATGGTTTACTTTTTAATGACAGAAGGAAATAGGCACCTTTACACAGTATCCTGAATCAGGCAGACACTTCCCTAACAAAATACTGAAATCTGCATCTCCAGTAATGGGACACGATAAGCAGAAGACAGTTGCTTATGTCTAAGCAGAATCTAAGGAAACACCTAATCCAGATTATGTGACTGCTGCCATACATCTAGCTGGACTTGAAATCAGAAGGTTATGGGAAGTGTTCTAGATTAAAACTATCATAGGAATCCAGTATTTTCAAACTCTTTTTATACTCTTTATAAAGGACATAACTGGAATGAATGGGTGGAAAAACCTGAATGCAAACCTTACTAGAAAATATTTTGTACCAGCATTAATTTTCTCGTGTAACCATCTTGAGTACTATGGTTTTGTAGAACTCTGATTAAACAAAAGTTCTCAGGAGGCTGGGGCAGGAAGGTTGTAAGTTCAAAGACAGCTGAGCTAAATATGGAAACCATTAAAAAATAAAACAAAACAAAAAAACTAAGCATGGTGGTACACACCTGTGACCCCAGCTATTTGGGAGGTTGAGGCAGGAGGGTTAATACTCAAGATGAGCCTGCACAATGTAGTAAGCCCTTCAAAAAAGGTTTTGGTAGAGCTGGGCATGGTGGCACATGCCTTTAATCCTAGCACAAGAGGTACATCTCTGTGAGATTGAGGCCAGCCTGGTCTACATAGTAGGATCTACGCCAGCTGGGGCTACAGGGAGACAAACAAAAACAGACTGCCAAAGGAAAAAAGTGCATACAGGATCCTAAAGACACAACATGCAGGAAAGCTGTGGAAAGAAAAGGGAGCCTGTGGCCAAATGGTTAGTTCTACTTTTCTGTGATTACCATGATGATGCTGGTTTCTTTTCTCTTCTTTTTCTTTTTCTGTATATTTAATTTGTATGGTCGAAGGACGCTCTCACAGTAACTGGATACCCAGAGGACAATAGAAATAGTCTGAAAGAGGAAATTATCCAAATCCATCAATACAGATTACACTAAAGATATCTATGAAGAACTTAAAGGCAAAGAGTAAACAAAGAAATTTTAACTGGAAATTCTATATAAATCCAACCCATTTCTCCTCTGAACTTTATTCTTGGGGAGAAATTGATTGGAGACACACACACTTATTCATTTCTTTGAATATGAATGTTTTCCCCAAAGGTTCATAAACTAAAGGCTTGGTTGGTCTCCAGCTGGTGATGCTGAGGACTGACTGGACCATGAGGGCTCTGCCTCCAGCAATGGGTTAATTCACTGATTGATTCATAATTTGATTATTGTGAGGTGATGGAAACTAAGAGGTGAGACCTGATTAGACTAATGGGTCACTAGGTTACTAGGAACAGACCTTTGAAGGGTACATCTTGTCCATGATCTTTGCCTCGCTCTGCATCCCAGCCCTGATGAGGTGAGCTGCCTTCTCCACCATACTTGCCTGTGACCATGATGCCAGGTATAGCAATGACTAAACCATGGCTGAACAACTCTGAAATTGTAAGCCAAAATAAATCTTTTTTCCTTAGAAAATGTTCTCATGTGTATTTGTCACAGGCCTACATCATCATCTCAGAATACTGAGGCAGCCTAACTCTCTCCTTTCTAGTTCTCTACTCCCAGCTCTAAATTCGCTCACCATCTGATTTTCACTGCTCTGAAAAAGTGAGATCTATACATCCTTTTTGCCTAGTGAAAAGTCCAAATTCCTAGGCATGGGATCCAAAGGTGCTTTATGATATGGGTCTCTCTGAACACACGCTAGTCAGGTAAGATCCACCAGCAAACCTAGGATCTCCTCCAGCTGATCAACATATACCCTGATTGTATTAGAGTCGTTCTTTACACATGTCCTATACTACGGTGTGTTCATAATAAGTATGTTCAATGAGTCATTCATTAAGTATCTGGTAAGCACTTGTACTGTACCAGTCAGAGAAGGGCATACTGCCTTCAGGAGACTACAGGCTAGCAGGAGGAGAAAAGCAAGTTTATCACACAAAAAGAAAAGAAAAAGACTCAGGTTAAAGAGATATGTCTAGGTCAGGCATGGTGGTTGGCGGTGCACAGCAAGCCTTTAATCCCAGCACTTGGAAGACAGAGGCGGGGGGATCTGTAAGTTCAATGCCAGCCAGGGCTACATAACAAGACCCCGGCTCAAAAAAAAAAAAAAAAAAAAAAAAGGTCAACACTTATGCTGTCAGGTGTGGTGGCACATATATGTAGTAACTCCAGTACCCACGAGGCTGAGGCTGGACGACTGAGAATTCAAGGCCAGTCTTGGATATACAGCAACACCTGTTTCAAAAAAAAGCAAAATGAGAAGAAAAAAAAATTGCCCCTTGGGGCTTGGGAGATGGCTCAGTGGTTAAGAGTACTGACTGCCCTTGCAGAGGACCCAGGTTTGATTCCCAGCACTCTACATGGTGGCTAACAACTGTCCATAATTCCAGTTCCAGGGAAATCTGACACCTTCTTCTGACCTCCTCGGGCACAGCACAACACGGGTGCACATATATGCATGCAAGCAATGCACTCATACACATAAAATTAAAAAAATAAAAAGCTTCTCCTTAATAAATAGAGAATACCTAAGTAATTAGTAAATAACAATAACAACTAAAAGAAGCTAGAGGAATTGAACAATATTATAAACAGTCAAAAGGGTCCAGAGAGAAAATAGCTATTTTGGAATGAATCTAGGTAAGCTCAGAGAAGAATAAAGGTACTCTGGAGTTGTGCCTAAGCATTATGAATGAAACAGGTTTAGAAATGATTTAGATGCCTTTGTAACAAAAGCAGGTAGACAAGAAGCTGAGCTGCAGGTATAAAGCCCCAAGCCCCGCACCACTGGTGGAAAGGATTCTACATACTGTGAAACAAAGCCATGCTTCTCAGGAAGAGAACAGAAACATACCTCAACAAAGAAGACTAAATTTTCTAAATGAGTAGGATGGGTTTTCAAGTTACCATCTTTCACTTCTAAGAGTGCGCCTTTACATTTACTGAAGACATCTGAGGACAGAAAGAGTTTGTAGTTTTATTTACCTTTTGTTTCAATATTTTCAGAAATACAATGTATAATCTGAGAATAAGCAATATAAAAACTTAATCCAGAAACACCCCTTCCCCATTTTCTACAATGAACCAAGCATCAGAGATATCTATTTTAAGCTCTTAAAAAGCTATATTGGAATGGAAGTATAGCTCAGCGATAGTACACTTGCTCAAGGTTCCAGGTTCCATCCTTAGCACCACAAAATAAATACCCCGCCACACACACAAGGTAAAAAAAAAAAATCTGATTATCATTCCATAGTCTCCAAAATATATAAAAGTGGCCTTTAAAATGATGCCTGCCATGGCCTACACATTAGCTAAGACATCATAAATCTAAGACTCTGAGTAAATGATTTAGAAGAACTTATGCCATTAGAGCCTGAAAAATTAAAAAGCTACACTGTAAAAGTGCATCTTCATAGGGCTGGGCCCAGTCAGGAAACAGCTGCCACCAAGCTTGAGGACCGAGCAGGATCTCCCATACAAAAACTGGACATGGTGGCACAGTCTGAGGGAGAGTAAGGGAAACAGACAGGAAGTGGGACAGACACAGGTGGGTCCCTGGGGCTCAAGTCTAGCAAAATCGGTTAGCTCTAGTGGCTGGCTCTGCCTCAAAGAATCAAGTGGAGACTGATAGAGGTAGACTTGACATCAATCCTCTTCACACATGTACAGAAACAAACACACACACACACACAAATTTTTTTTAATGTATCTTCCTATCAGAAGCCATGTATTATTGTCACACTCTTAATTATGTTTAAATTGTCATACATTCTTCATCTGGGCAATAAAGTAAAAGATACTATGGGTTCCTGAAAAGAAGGAGCTCACGGATTTTAAATGCCTGTGTGTACTTTCCACCAAACACTTATTCTTAGGAATTTAAATCCAAGGAAATAATCAAATAAATACTATGTCCCAAGATACAAACTGCAGCATTGTTATAAAGAATGCAGTGTAGTATATGATATATTATGTGGTCACTGGAGGAATAGATAAGTAAAATAAGTGCATTTAATTAAAAAACAAAACAAAAAAAACAAGGGCTGCTGAGATGCCTCAGTGGGTAAAGGCATTTGCCACAAAAGCCTGATGACTTGAGTTTAATCCAAAGAACCCATATAAAGACGGAAGAAGGCTGACTCCATAAAGTTGTTGTCCTCTGACTTCCATACCTTACTCACACATAATAATAATACATTTTTTAAAAAAAAAACATAAATTGAGGCAAGGCTCTTGCATAGGACCTGGGTTTGATTCCCAGCACCCACATAGCAGCTAACAACAGTCAATAACTCCAGTTCCAGGGAAATTCAATGTCCTCTTCTGATTTTCATGGGCACTGCATGACCCGGGTGCATTCATACACATGCAAGCAATATACTCATACACATAAAATAAATAAAAATTTTTATTAAAAAATGCATCTTTGGCCAGGTGTGGTGGTGCACACCTTTAATCCCAGCACTCGGGGCCAGCTGGAACTACAGGGAGACCTTGTCTTCAAAAAAAAAAAAAAAGAAAAAAAAAAAGCACTGTTACGTCCAACTCCTACCACAACTTTATATATTTTTTTTAATTGAGCTATTGTTAGACACCCAGAGAATTCAGGAATCTACAGCAAAAACTTACCTCTTAATTTTTCTAGTAAAGACTTAAGACTATTTTCTATTCGTTCCTGTATCTCCACTGTATCCTCTAAAATTGATAAACAAAGAATAAAATTTCATTTTTTTAATAAAACAATTTGACCTGCACACACCTGCATGTAAAATAAGACTTTTAATATTTTATTATTTTTATTTTGTGTATGAGTGTATTGCCTGCATGTATGTAAGTGCAATGTCCTCAGAGGTCAGAAGAAGGAGTTGGAACCCTTAGAACTGGAGTTACAGATGGTTGTTAGCTACCATGTGGGTGTTATAAACCAAACCCAGGTCCTCTTACCCAGTGCTCTTACCCCTGAATCATTTCTCTAGACCCTAATAAAATATTTTAAAAAGTAAACCTGGGGCTGGAGAGATGGCTCAGCTGTTAAGAGCACTGACTGCTCTTGCAGAGGACCTGGGTTCGATTCCCAGCACCCACATGGTGGCTACGAACTGTCCTTAACTCCAGTTCCAGGGGAATCCAAAGCCCTCTTCTGACCTCCATGCCACTGCACGACATGGGTGCACTCACATACATGCAGGCAATACACCCATACACATAAAAATAATAAAATTAAAAAAAAAAGTAAACCTGTGTACTCTCATATACACTAAGTCAGACCTTTAGAGTGTTGCAAACTTATGTCTACTGCACTTTTCTAAAAATGTGAGGTTATAGACCTTTGTTTGGATTTACTAAATTTTTACTGCATCTTGACAAAGACCTAGTAAACATATATGCAAGTACACACTTACCTAAGCCATTGGTATCCAGTTCATACAAATTGTTAACAAGATAAAAGGAACTTATCTGGCATTGAGAACAGCCAGAGTTAAAGAATCCACCCATCCTGGTAGGTACAGGTCCAAGGAAGGGATACTAGAAAGAGAGGGAAAACAATATCCTTTAATTCATGCAAAATAAGATAACAAGGCTAGTAACTACTGTATAAAACCTGTTTTACTCACTTAACAAAAAAATCCATTACTCAGAAAAGTAATAACTGACTCCTGCAGTAAAAACAAAAAGGCCCTATAAGTCGGTGGTGGTGGTACTTGCCTGTAATCCTAGCACAGGTAAGGCTGAGGCAGGAAGACCTTAAGTTCAAGGCCAACCTGGACTATAGGGCAAAAACCCTGTCTCCAAAAGAAAAATTTTACTACCTTAAAAAAGCTATTGTTTTTCCTTCCTATCCAATCTGGACCGAGAGAAAGCCTAAAATCAGCTCTGAGACTTACCAAATTCTACTTCCCTACAGACACCATGAACTGAAACACTGCTAGTCTTCACTACTCAGCCAATCATGAACTATCTTTTAAAAGACAGTCACAGCCAGGCATGGTGGCGCACGCCTTTAATCCCACCACTTGGGAGGCAGAGGCAGGAGGATCTCTGAGTTCCAGGCCAGCCTTGTCTACATAGTGAGTTCTAGGTGAACTGGGGCTACAGGGAGACCCTATCTCAAAAAGAGCCCCCCTCCCCCCAAAAAACCCAGTCACAAGTAGAATTATTGAACCTCTAATAACAAATACTTATTGATGGTACCTGAATTTCCTTCTCAATAAATCGCTTTCCCATCTCCACGGCCACTTCTAGCTGTTGGAGGAGCAAACGAAGAATATCAATCCGGGAGGACACACCATTCTCAGCAGTCTTCTCGGAGTTCTTTGGCTCCACCGGGTGGTTAAGACTTGCAAGTCCACTGATCAGTCTCAATGTTAAGGAGCGGATTCTTAACCACATGGTCTCTTCCTCCAAGGAAAGTTTCTTATGTTCTTCAGAAACATTCCTTAAACAGAAACATCCCCAGACCATCCATTTTACTCAGCCTGTTGCCTTAAATCTTTGAGTATTTGTTTTCACCCATCAAGACACCTGACAACAGTTCTTGTCATCACGAACCATTTGTATGATCTTAGTCAAATTTCTGTCCATTTCACAGTCAGAAAGGTGGGTGGGTAGACTACTATTCAGTAGGCCAATTTAAGGTACTTTGCTCTGATGATTAAAATACTAAAGATACAAAAAAAAAAATCCAAATGCCAGAAAAGCTAGTTAGGTAGAAAAAGTATTCTGATACTCACAGAATCGACACTCTTACACAGATCCCTTAAGATTGTTCTAAGACTTTTAAACTTAAGTACAAAAATATAACCAAAATTGGCTGAGGGTTCAGCTCATAGGTAAGCTATACTTTTACCATTTGCAAGGCCCTAGGTTGAATTCCAAGCATCACCAAAAAATTTGTGTATATAATAAAAAAAAAAAAAAAGATATTTACATAACCTCAAATTACAACATTTGTACTTCCCTGTTGTTTTAAGACAGGGTCTCACAACATAGCTCCGGTTGGCCAGGAACTCATTATGTAGACTAGGCTAGCCTTGGCTTCCCAAGCACTGGGGTTAAAGGCATGAACTATCATGCCTGGCTCGTTTGTCCTACTTCTAGACTGCATTTATGTAGTGGTAAGCCATGCAGTAGAGCTAAACAATTTAGGTTTATCATTTTCTTTTTAAAAATTTTTTTTAGCCTGGTGTGGGGGTACACGTTAATCCCAGCACTTGGGAGGCAGAAGCAAGCGGATCTCTGTCAGAAGAGTGTGTTGGATCCCTTGAATTTGGAGTTAAGATAGTCGTTAGCCACCATGTGGGTGCTGGAAACTGACCCAGGGTCCTTTGCAAGAGTAGCCAGTGCTCTTAACTGCTGAGTCATCTCTTTAGCCCCATCATCATCTTTAGAAGGACCTATATGCAAGGTTAGCCCTCAGCTGATGCCTGGCAACCTATACTCCAATCATCACTTAAACGTCAAGAGTAGTTCCTGTGTCCCAATTGTTCATGTTGTTTATGGCAAACATCTGCTTTCCTTCTGAGAGCCTGAAATTTTGATACAGGCTGTACAAAGTGTAACTATGCAGAAACACCATGCTAAAGCATTCTTACTATGTTAGAGCATTCTTTCTCTATTGAGGAAGGAATGAGCTTGGCAAGCCCCTCCACCAGTGGAGAGGACAGTAGAAATCAATGCATGAATCCTCAAGGCTCTACCTGTGCCCCTTCCCTGGCTCATCCTTCCAAGTACCCTTTGCTGAAATAAACCTTAAAGGTGTGAACAACTACATGCTGACTCTCAAGTAATTCCAGCAATTCACTCAATGTAGTCTTGGCAATCTACAACTCAGTATTTTCAAAACTACCTCCCACATCTGTCTTTCAATGCATGTGCATTAATATCCTTATGCTGTACTTTCCCAGAAGCAGATATGCTAAAGTAAATGGTAGGTTGCATTTTAAATATTGAAAGATTTTTTAAATTCCCTACAGGAAGTCAGGTGTGGCGGCACACACCTTTAGTCCCAGCGCTTGGGAGGAAGAGTCAGGGGGATCTCTGCGAGTTCAAGGCCAGTCTACATAGCTGGGGCTATAAGAAAACCCTGCCTTAAAAAAAAGACTAGGAGTGGCTTTCATCTTTCTTAGCATTTTTTGACTTTTTCTTTTTTTTTTTTTTCTGTCTTTTGTCTTTTTGAGACAAGGTCTCCCTGTAGCCCCAGCTAGTCTGGAACTCACAAAGTAGACCAGGCTAGCCTTGAACTCACAGAGATCCATCTGGCTCTGCCTCCCAAATGCTGGGCTGGGACTAAAGGCATATGCCACCACACCTGGCTTGCTTTTTGGTTTTTTGAGACCAGCTGGTCTGGAACTCACAAAAGTAGCCCAGGCTGGCCTGGAACTCAAAGAGATCCCCTGCTTCTTGCCTCCCTAGTGCTGGGACTAAAGGTGAGTGCCACCACGCCCAGCCAAAGATTCTTTTTTAAAAAAATATTTTATTTATTATTTTTATTTTATGTGTATGAATGTATTGCCTGTATGTATGTGAGTGCACCCATATTGTGCAATGCTACAGAGGTCAGAAGAGGGCTTCGGATTCTCCTGGAACTGGAGTTAAGGACAGTCTGTAGTTGCCATGTGGGTGCTGGGAATCAAACTCGGGTCCTCCGCAAAAGCAGTCGGGTGCTCTTAACCACTGATATCCTGAGCCATCTCTCTAGCCCCAGCCAGAGATTCTTTAAATCAATCCATTGGTTTTTCCAGCAAATAAAACAGATCCAGAGGTTAAATGCCTCAGTCAAACTCACACAGCTAGCCCACAGTAGCATCCAAGTTCAGTGCTCATCCCATTGGTCTCCCACTTCCCAACAATCTTCTTAGCACCCAAGAGAGAAGAATGTCTGGCAACGCAAGTGTTGAGCCCAGAGAAATGACACCATCATTTGAGGGAGGTGACAGAAAAAGAAGGCTTGGCAGGGGCTTCTCGAGACTCAGAGGGGAAGGAAGTGACTAGAAACAAAGTCTATGGTACTCTCACTGATCTTTAGAATACCACATCTGAATCAAATGTCCCATATCCTTTGGGTACCCTTCTCTTCTCTAGTGACTATCACCAGTGAAATGGGAGTGCCCCAGTAAGAAACCTAACAAAAGTTTACATTTGCAATTTCAGGGCCAGGCATGGTAAGTGCACACCTTTAATCTCAGAACTTGGGAGGCAGAGGCAGATGGATCTCTCTGAGTTCAAGGCAAGCTTGGCCTACATAACCAGGGCTACCCAGTGAGACCTGTCTCAAAAATATAAAAAGGGACTGGGGATATGGCTTAGTGGTAGAGTACATGCACAGCAGGAGAAACCCTGGGTTCAATCCACCATGTTGCAAACAGAATACATTTCCATCTTCCCCTCAGTAAGCTAGGAAGCCCAGACTGACCTGTGGGCTCTAAAATGTACTTGGGAAATAGACCAAGTCACAGAGCCTGATTCAATGAAATACTGCTGAGTAAGAGTAGAAAAGACAGCAGACTGAGTTTTTGTCTTGCCCCTACCATGTTTTTCTACCCACTTGTGGCTTATATAAAATCAATTGTTAAAATTTCTTTTCTGAATAAATACCTATTTTTCATATTGCTAAACAACAGAAGCAGTAGCTGAGGGATGGGAATGTAGCTCAGTAAGTGCTAGACATACGTACACACACACACACACAGAGGGGAGAGAAAGAGAGAGAAAGAGAGAGAGAGAGAGAGAGAGAGAGAGAGAGAGAGAGAGAGAGAGATTGATTGAGATTTTCCAAATTACCATAAACCTTTGGAATTTAAGTTTATTACTTCTACTTACAGAAGTTATAATCTTTATTATTTGCCAACCTGAGATAATGGTAGAAGCTTTCCCCATTTAAATGTTCTCTATCTTTCCTCTAGAATTCCTAAGGAATAAGGGCATAGAACCTTTAATCCACCTGGAATTCACCCTCATACAAGCCATAATCAGGCCTAACCTTCAGTTTGGCTCACAGTCCCAATAATCCCAGTCAGGGGTTAGACTTCCTTCCTTTGTTGCTCCTAGATTATCTGATCTCAAAAATGAACATTACACTTCAGATTTGTATAAAAACAAAAATTTTTTTAAATCTTAGATTCATTGCAATTCTTCAGAAATAAACCCCTGGGGCTAAATTCCATTTACCTGTCTTTTGGATCCCAGCTGAAGAAAACATTTAAGTCTCTATTGTCTCGCAAATCTTCCCATGGAATGTCATCTTCTTCTGGCCTGAGATTCATTGCCTTTATACTTTCTGCTAAACTGCTTGATCTGGAATACAGAGAATGGGCTCAGGTCTTATTTCTTATCCCTGTGCATGTACACAGTATATATGTGTCATGTGTATAGTAGTTGTGTGCAGTACATATGTATGGTATGTGTATGCAGTGTATGTGTGGTGTGTGTGCATGTTTGTAACATATGTGTCTGTGTGTGATGTGCATATTTTATGTGTGCAGTGTGTATGGTATGCATGTGCAATGTCTGTATTGAATATGAATGGTGGGTATGTGTGCATGGTATGTGTGTATATATGTGTAGTCTGTGTGTGCATGGTGCGTGTGGTACATGTGCGGAAGTATTATGTGTGTACCATGTGTGGATGTGTGTGGATTTATGTGTGTATATATGAGGGCTATGTGTGTCAGTGCACGTGTGTATGTGGGTGTGTGGATGTGTGTTATGTGTGGTGTGTGGCATGTGCACACATGTATATGCAGGAGTCAGTGGAGGCCAGAGGTCAACATCAGGTGTCCTCCTATCTTTCTCCACCTTGTTTTTTGAGACAGGGTCTCTCACTGAGCCTGAAGCTCAGCAAGTGGCTAGACTAGGTGGCCAGTGGGCCCCAGGGATCCTTCTGTCTCCTCTGCCTAGCACCAAGATTACAGGCATATGTGGCCATGCCTGGCTTTTTATATGGGTTCTGGGGAATCTGAACTCAGGCCCTCACTTTACCCACTGAACCATCTCCATGTAACAATACAGTCATGAAATATTAGCCAGGACTTTCTTTTACTAAAAGTATAGACTCATAAGAGGTTAAACAGAACCAAGTCAAATCATGAGACTTACTACACAGCAAGCAAAAAGACTTCTATAGCCCATGAAAACACAGTACTGTGCCAGATGTGGTGGCGCACGCCTTTAATCCCAGAACTTGGGAGGCAGAGGCAGGTGGATCTTTCTAAGCTGGGGCTACAGGGAGACCCTGTCTCAAAAAGACACACAAACACACAAAAAAAGAAAACACAGTAGAGCAGCACCAAAAGTCCTGAGTGTAGGAGGGAAACCTCCACAGTTTGATACAGAGGAGAGGATGATGCCCAGGGCAGGCTAGTTTTTCTAATGGATCTGAGATACCACTACCCTATCATTCTCCACAACAGGCTCAACAGTTTTCCATTTCCAGCTTCCTTTCTCTTCCCAGGCCCCATTTCTTCCTCTTAACTCTGCTAATGACTCCCATAAGCCCACTGATTATTCTCAGGATCTGATCTAATCCCCTAGTTCCTCTTTATTTCTTATGAAATACTTACATGTTTGCTTCAAGTAGAAGGTCTAACAGCATCCGTTCAGTACGGACTTGTGCAAAATGAAGAGAATTATTCAGCCTGTTCCTAAAAGCGATAAACTCTGGGATCTTCTCAAATGCACCATATTTGTAAGCTTGGATAATATATTCTGAGGTCTGAGAAGGAAAGACATTACCTTGGTATAAACATTTGACAGGTCAGTCAATGCAAGCAAACCTTGCCAGCCAACAAAATACTCAAACTAAAATTAAGGCTTTGAATTCAATCTCTAGAGGTTTTGGTCACAAAGTAGAAGATGAGCTAGTAAAACTATTAGTTTCCTTTCTTCCTGTAGCTGTCAGCTGTCTCCTCTCTACTATGGGGCAGCTTGCAGCTGTTGCTGCCATCTCCAGCCCTGTCTTAGCAGTCATGTCTTTCAAGGCAACAGGACTGGAGGTTTTGTTCTATCACATGAGTCACAAATTTGGCTAGTGCCATTCCAGAAGGGATATTACTCCATGTTTTTCTCCATCTAAGATAAAATATGCTTTATATCAAGAGTCTTAAGATGCCAGAATAACACAATCATATCTCCACCCAAAATAAAATAACTTTCCTTCAGAAAGAGACTACTCCATCATTGGTTCTTTCTGAAATGGAATCAGACACACAGGGCAGATGAGCTTTCTACCAGAAGACACCGAACAAAAGACCCATGGATATGCATGTCAAGATCCACTCTTGAGAATGACTTCAAGAACCAAGTTTCTTGTGCACACAAACTGCTAGAAATTACCCTAGACAAGTAAGTGAAGGGAATGCTCACCAGCACATCTTAAAGACTAAAATATGCAGATGAAATCCTTCAGAATAGAGGCAAGATAAAGAATTCTAATGGAAACCTTGGCAACAACAGAAGCAAATCTCAGGGAAGAACATTCACAAAGTGGGCCTATGCCATCCAGATAAGAAGACAGAAAATCACCCCTTCGGGGCCAATGAAGGTATTTAGCTCAAGGCTGAAGTCTGCCCAAAACAAAGACCCTTTCTAGAAAAGCCAGTCTTTTGCATTGCCTAAGTTTGTTCAGCTCTGCCCCCATCTCCACTATGTCTACGTACTTTGCCCAATAAGAAAATAGGCCAATAGTCAACAACATACCCTCTGATATACAGCCTCGCAGGGTTCATTTCAGGCCGCGGGATTGCGCCACGGGCGCTAATTCAACTGCATTCGATGCGGCTTTTAAACCCACATGGGACACCTCGGCGAGCTGTTTGCCTGCAGTATCTGGAGAAATTAAAGACGGACGGACACAAGAAAATTAAAAAGATTACTTGTGATCCTGCAGGTTTAAGGACTATCTGAAAAATCTCAAGTGTACCTTCTAGCTTGACTGAGGACACTGAGATGCCCCATCAAGAAGAGGCTAACATTAATCACATGTCTATCCGACAGTCCCCAGCTTAGAAGACACAGCAAGGTTTACTATCAACCCTTGCGATGGGAACTTGCAGCTTGAAAAAACTTGGAACTTATATGATCCAGCAACCAGTCAGGATAAAAATGCAACTTGGGTAATTCTAAACAGATTATAGTTCCAAAATAGGCTACGCCTAAAGAAGAGAACCCAGCCTTACCTAACGGATAAGTTTTAATATCTGAGTGGTCCATGAAATACCACTTCAGAAAAAAAGGCAAGAGCTTTTTGTTTGTTTTGTTTGAGACACAGTTTCACTGTCACCCTGGAACTCAAGAGATCTGCCTATCTCTGCCTCCTGAGTGCTGGGATCAAAGGTGAAGATGTGTGCCACCACGCCTGGCCCAAGGCAGCAAATATAATCCTTAACAAATCAAAATAGTAGGTGTAGTTCTTGTTTCAACAGTCTTCTGTAATTGCCGAAGTAAATACCACTACAGAACTAGCCATGGGCCTGAGCACAAAGGCCTCAAGAGCATGACCACTGAGGGCCCATCTCCTGATGGGAGAGCAGCCAGACCAGAAGCCATAGTCAGCTGAAGACGCAAATGCAACATGTGGTCCATACCCATGTCTTCATTTAGGCACCAATGAGGCTACTTAGATAATGAAGAGATTCCTGAAATGAACCTTGGTTGTTGTAAAAATTAGCAAAATACAGAGGTATCAGACCATAAATAATGATCTTTATAAATACCTAAAGTAGGAGCCACAAAAGAGGTTTAAGGATTTATTATTTTTATTTATGTGTATGTGTGTGCATTTGTTTAAGTGAGACCCCTTAGAGCTGGAGTTCCAGGTGGTTGTGAGCAGCCCGACATGAGGGTTGGGAATCAAACTGCTATCTGTCTCTCCAGGTACCCCAAAGGAAGCTTTATAAAACACAAACATTTAAATGACTTTTGGAGATAAGAAAATGTAGCACTGATTTTAAAAAATAATATTGCTGGGTGAGGGGGTGCACGCCTTTATTTCAGCACTCACGAGGCAGAGGCAGGCAGATCTCTGTGAGATCAAGGCCAGCCTAGTCTACATAGTGAGTTCCAGGGCAGCTGGGGCTATAGGGAGATTCTGTCTCAAAGAAAAAGAAAAAAAAAACTGTTAAAAAAAAAAATTATCTTAAAGCAAGATGGCAACAAAGACCTATCTAGAAAGAAAATTCTTATGCAGACCTTCTAAAGATAACTTTCAATCCCAAAGCACCAAAGCACTACAAACAATAGTGAAGTTTCCATTTGAGAAATGTTTTTCAAAGAACTAATTAGGAAGTGAAATACATTAGTCACCAAGGAAGAAAGCATTTGGGGAATCCCCAACATTCCCAAGAATAAATGCTGCAGAACACAGAGCTTTGGTTTTACGGAGAGCTACTTCTAGCACTGAGACGCATGAACACATGCGTAACACCTCAATCTTGACAGCCTCTTATTCCTTTACACCAGTTTACACCAGTCTTGATTACCTTACTTTGGGATGCTGGCATCATAGTTCAGGTAAACTTTTCTTGCAGTAGTATCTTTTGACTCCAGGTACTTAAAGATTAGCTGTTTTAGTATGAATAAATTAGCCCCGTCATAAATTATAAGGACAGTACTATCATTCCCTGATCAATAAAGTACATAATCTGACCAGGCACAACACTGTAAACATTAATCTAAATTCGTAATTCCTACAAACTACTATAAGCAATACGTCAAGCACTACGAGGCTGGATGGAGCAAGAAGATGGAGAGTTTGAGGCCAGCCTAAGTTACGTACGTCAGAAGACCCTGTTTCAAAAAGAGATTTTTCAGTAAATTAAATGTCTTTATCCTCTTCCTCATAAACACAAAAAGAACGAAAAGAAGGAGATTATAGGAAATTAATTCTTTTGAGTTAGGAAATTCTTTAAAACAGAAGAAGGCAATTACAATTACTTAAATATACAGGAGATCGTCATAGATTTACAACTGCCACTCATAACTCATACTGTGAGAATCTAAACTCCAGCATCCTAGACATGTCCTCTGGCCTCAATGCCAAGCTGTCACCTTCAAAACAATATGCTCAGATGTTAAAACCTGCTTTTGCTTTCCTTTCTCCTCAATTAGGGCACTAGAACACGACGAGGTCTGAATAGATAACATCACTGTCTGACAAGAAGGCAGGCTGAAAACCAACTGATGGTGTGTGCTGAAGCAGAGGGCCGGCCTTTCTGTTCCTCTGCTGCTCCAGGCCTTTAGACCAAACCCTAAAACTCAAAAGAACAGTTACCAGAGGCTAACAAATACTGCTCAGAAATACTCCTGCCCTGCCATCTCTTTAGTGTACCCCTAAAGAACTAGATGAATGACAGGTGTAACTTAGAAAAATCCTCAAGAACTGTTTGCCAAGAAGAATCTCAGATTATACCTTCCTTACCAAGTTCATTAACTGCTGATGAACCAAAAGACTAGAAAGCTATGGGCAGATACCTGGCATGACCAACCTCCAGTAAATGTCTAGAAGCATGTGAGAACCAACTCGGCAGTGACCACTCTAAAGGTATGACTTCTTTCTATACATCAATTTTTGGGTAGTTCTGAAAGGTCAGTCCACTGAGACCACCTGTTTTTCCACAAAAGCCTCTGTTATAATCAAGTGGAGCCCAAGTCAGCTTGCAGTGAAAAATATGGTGCAAATCCCATCCTTGTACTCTGGCACAGAGAAGCTCTAATTTATTGCTGCTTAAAGACAACAGGAAACAGCTGCCAGCACAAACTCTGATAGGCTATTTCATACATTCTTAGAAGTCTCTTCATGACAGTTAGAAAGAGCTACGAGACATAATACTTCTCTTACTATCCAGTTCTAAATGCAAATTTCCAAGGATTCAATTAAATACACTCATATCCAACAAATGCAGATAACTGCACCTCTACCTAACAGCCTTGGATGATAAACTGCAGTCTAAGGGCACCTGCCAGCAGCAGAGCATGATGGCTGGACATGTGTGTTTGTCACCCCACCAGAGGGGGCACATTCTGAACGACATGCAGTCAGCAGCAAGACCACAGTATCAAAGGGCTTCACTTACATCTTTCTGGTTGGAGTGGAAAAACCTGAGTGCGAAGTTACAGGACTGGGATGCAGCAGCATACTGACCTAGGGATGCAGCGTATCGGGTCAAGAGGTAACTAGGTTGGAAGAAGGAAAAAAAAAAAAAAAGAACGTTATACTTGCCTCACTCTACTGTCAAATACTATGCTCCAAACTGCTATGGTAAAGGACTAGATAGGCATAAGCAAGACCAAACATGCTGCCAGAGCAATAAGTTAATTCACTGGAGCACATTAAAAGAAAGAGAATGAACAAAGTTCAATTGGTTTTGAGGGAGGCCTCAAGTTCTATGCCATTCTTTCTTTTCCTCTTGATGATTAAATGGAACACAAAGCTTATAAGAGTTCATAATGCTGTCTTCCTAAATGGGACAGAGAAAATGCCCTTAAGTAACTGCAAAGTGTAGCCAAATCACATATTCAAAGGGATGGCTCGGGGCAATAGATAAAGAACATGTGTCATCAGCAGCAGCAAGGGAGAATCAAAGACCTCAAAAAAGCATGTTCTAAGAAGAAAGGTTCAAAACGTGTAGCTGGCTGGAGAGTCAAAGCTCAGGAGTGCACATATGCTTAGCATGACAGCTGGTTGCTATCTTTGGGGAAAACATTCTTACCATTTAGAAATTGGAAATTTTCTATTTGCTGGTAGATATAAACACTTTATGCTTTGCCATGGGTCACAACAGGTGGATTTAGAATCTGGAAACCTGTTCTGCTACAATCTATGAAGGTAAGGTTCCTATGCCTGCTGAAGCTGTCTGCTCATTATTCAGAGTGTATACTACCAACCCAATGGTGTCGTGCTGGATATGCTTAGCATCAAGGCTGGAGTAAAGATCCACCACTGGTTCAAATGCACCAAGCATACAGTAGATTCGAACAAGCAGCAGTTTGAATTGAGCATTGGAAGGACTGTGGGTTAATCCTTCTTCCAGCAAAGTCAGGGCTTGCCACACAGCACTCTCATCACCTAAAACCAAAATACATCATTATCCACTCAGTTTGACAGAAAATGAGCTCTCTCTCTCTTCTCTTCTTCTCTCTTTTTCTCCCCCCCCCCATCCACCTCCCTATACCTCCACCTGGTCTAGAACAGATTCTGCTGGGATTAAAGGTGTGTGCCATCTGATCTTCTTACTTAAAGGGAAGGACTCTAGATAGGCTGATTAAATCCCTGTGGATGAACTTGCACGGAGGGACATATGGAGACACTAACTTTACATGGAAAATTTGGGGGGTGGTTTTTTTGGGGGGTCTTTTTGAGACAGGGTCTCTCTGTAGCCCCAGCTGGCCTGGAACTCACTATGTAGACCAAGCTGGCCTTGAATTCACAGAGATTTGCCTACCTCTGTCTCCCGAGCGACAGTCTTAACACAAATGACAGAATGTATAAACTCCAGTGGGGGGCTATGGAAGGGTGCCAAAGGGGAATGGGATATAAAAATGATTTTATGTATGAAATACACAAAAATTCAATAAATTTTTTTTAAGAAGTTCTAAAATATGAACTTTTTAAAAAAGGTGTATGCCACCACACCCAGCCTAGGAAGATTTCTTAAAAACAGGAACATGTTGACATCATCACCTCCCCAAACTGTTTTTTTGTCTTTTTGAGACAGGGTCTCCCTGTAGCACCAGCTGGCCTCGAACTCACTATGTAGACCAGACTGGCCTCAATCTCACAGAGCCACCTGCCTCTGTCTCCCAAGTACTGGGATTAAAAGTGTGCGCCACCACACCCAGCTCTCCCCAAACTAGTCTATGAATGAGGTTAATGCATATAAATTTTAGATACAACCTGTAATCAGAACAAGGAATTTCCATAAATAAAAAGTCCTTCAATAGTTATGTCAGTGTTTAAATATGGCTCTGCAAAAAATGATGACTAGATCTTAAGAGAAAAATCATAGAATTTCACAGAATCTCAAATTCTGAAAAAAGACAGACTGTGAAGAACTGGAGTCTATCTGTCAGCCTTCCCACTGCAGGATCTTCTCCATGAACTGTGAGGGATATTATCCAGAGATGTAATTCTATTAACATAAGTACCATACGATACTGCTAAAAACTATTAGGGCTGGTGAGATAGCTCAGAGGGTAAAGCTGCTTTTCATCAAAGCCTGACAACTTGAGTTGTAGCCTGGGCTCCACACGGTGGAAGGTGAAAACTAATTCCATGACACGCGTGCACCCGTGTATGTATGTGTGTGTGTGTGTGTGTGTGTGTGTATGCACGCACACATGCACACACACAAAATAAATGTTATGAAAAATTATTTTTTTTAAAAAAGGTTATTTTCCTATATATATATTTTTTAAGTAAATAAAAATGCCATTCTGTTTTGTGGGTCCATCAGTGTGTCTTTGAATCAGCATTATAGTGTTTTAATTACGTACCTTTGCAATAGGTTTTTTCAATCATTAATCATTATTCGGACACATTAAAAAAAAAAATACAAAGCCGGGTACACTGGCGTACGCCTGTAGTCCCAGCACTTGGGAGGCAGAGGCAGATGGATCTCTGTGAGTTCGAGGCCAGCCTGGTCTACATAGTGAGTTCCAGGACAGCTGGGGCTACAGGGAAACCCTGTTTCAAAAAGACCAAAAAAATAAAAAATAAAAAAAATACAGAGAGTAGGAAAAACTGGGGACATGAGATTTTTTTCCAGAAGTCCTCTAAAGAAGGGCAAGGAAGAAAAATCTAAAAGCATTCAGCAAACTCACTGTTTACATAATTAAGTAAAATATGCAGTACTTGATAAAAACAGAGCTTCAGGTAGCGCTAAAAGTCAGTGGTACAGTTTCACAGCATGTGAGGCCTGCCTTCAATCTCTAGCAAAAAACAAGAGTCTAAGCCAGGCGTGGTGGCACATGCCTGTAGTCCCAGCACTTGGGAGGCAGAGGCAGGCGGATCTCTGTGAGTTCAAGGCCAGCCTGGTCTACATAGTGAGTTCCAGGCCAGCTGGGGCTACAGGGAGACCCTGTCTCAAAAAAAAAAACCAAAAAAAAAAAACACAAAAAAACAAGAGTCTGGAAAGAAGGCTCAGCGGTTAAGAGCACTGGCTGCTCTTGCAGAGAACCCAGGTTCAGTTCCCAGCATCCACAACCATCTGTAACTCCAGTTCCAGGAGATCTGACCTCTGTGGGAACTGCATGCATGTGATGCACTTACATGTAAGCAAACACTCATAAACATACATAAAAATAAATCTTTTCAAAAAGCAAAAACTGAGCAGAGATGAAAGCATAGATGTGGCATACCTGCTTCTCTCCAGATGTCAATGAGCACGTGGACAGCAAGGAGGCAGTAATAGTCGGAAAACTGCAGCTCTGTTTTCAAACAGGATTTCCCTACAGGGGAAAGTCACATCTATTATTAATATTTATTCACCAATTATTGCTACAAAGTAGTTTTTTAAAGGATAAAAATGACAGGCATAGAAAGAGGAATAAGAGAAGCTAAGACTAGGATAAGCACTGGAAGACAAATCCTGAGCCTACGACCTGGGATGGAGCTCCACATGTTTAGCATGTATGTGGCCCAGGCTTCCATGCCAAGTACCACAAAAGAATGGAGAGGGGAGGGAAGGAGGAATATATGACTGTTTGGGGCTGGAGACATGGCTCAGCAGTTAAGAGCATTGGCTCCTCTTGTAGAGGACTCAGGTTCAATTCCCAGCACCCACATGGTGGTTTACAACTGTCTATAACTCCAGTTCCTGGGGAATCCAACACCCTCTTCTGACCTCCAGGGGCACTGCACAACACAGGTGCACTTTCATAAATGCAGGCAATACACTCATACACGTAAAATAAATAAAATGTTAAAAAATAATAATAAATTTTAAAAAATACATGACTGTTCCAAAGAGAAACATTCAGAAGAAGTCTGAAGTGAATTAAAGAACCAAGGCCCAAGCATGACTAATATGCTCTACTTTCCCAAATGGTTTTTTCATTTTGTTTTGTTTTTCTTTTGCTTTTTTGAAACAGGGACTCCCTGTAGCCCCAGCTAGCCTGGAACTCACTATGTAAACCAGGCTGGCCTCTATCTCAGAGAGATCTGCCTCCCAAATGCTGAGATTAAAAGTGTGTGACACTATACCTGACCCAAATGGTTTTTAATATAGAGAAATACTGATTTTGAGAATTTATATTTTTATCACATATATCTAGCAAAGACAATCAGAGGACTATCTGCTTCTCAACTTAATACTCATCTTGCAATATATAATATTCTTTGATGCACTTAGTCTTTATATATAAAATATTAAGGCATACTGCTCCCAACTATAACAATTACCATAAACTATGCAATTCATTTAAGATCTACTTAGCAGCTTATGAGATCAAGAAAAACAGAGATGACTAGATGACAACTCTAAGCCACATAATGTTTTTGCATATTACTTAGTGTGACCACCTGATGAAATATTCTTTAACAGTGTGCTATGGATACTTTAAATACTGACTTCTAAAATTTTAGCAGATCAAAAATTAAAAGGTTGCTCACCAAATTCTAGTCCATGCTGGTACCTTAACATCAATTCTCTGACCACGTTCAACTTCTGATTTTTATCCATAATGTGATACAAGCCAAGTAGCCTTGTCAGCTGCACTATACACAGATGCTGCTGCAGAGCTCGGATATCAGCAGGCAGAGCAAGCTTATCTTCTGTTGGTGTTGACAATGGGACAACTCCAAGAAGGTGATTAATAAACTACAGTTAGGGAAAAATGAGCACAGGTCACAAGACTCAGTTATTCTTCAAGGTGTATTGAAATGGTCTAGAAAAGGACATCTGGGGGAAAAAACAAATGTTAGAATTTCTATCTACCAATAGCTATTTAAAAAGATGATTCTAAGCCAGGCGTGGTGGCGCACATCTTTAATCCCAGCACTCGGGAGGCAAAGTCAGGCAGATCTCTGTGAGTTCAAGGCCAGCCTGGTCTACATAGTGAGTTCCAGAAGAGCTGGGGGTACAGGGAGACCCTACCCTGTCTAAAAAAAAAGTGATTCAGAACAAACCTGTCAATTACCTAACCAGGACAAAGTCTCTCTGGAAAAGCTGCTTATTCTAGAGATTTCTTAACGTCTTTTTAAAAAATGTATTTATTGACATATGTGGAGGTCATAGGACCATTTTTGGGAGTTGATTCTCTTCTGCCTTATTTGGGAGTAGG